GGTTTCTGTCTTCTTTGAAGATGTTCGGAGGATTTTTTTTGCCTTTATAGGAAGATGGTAATAGAGGGCTTAGGGTGTTTAGAAAGATTCAAGAGCATCGAGGGTTTTGGTTCGGTTATGGCAGGTGAGGCCTTCAGAGTTCTGACGATCTGACAGAATGCAAGAGAGGCCACTGTGGCAGTCAGTCTGCACACAGGACTCTAAGAGATGGGCGGCGTTGGGGTTTGGGAACGTGCTGGCTGGGAGCAGGAGTGGTAGGAGGAGGTTAAAGGTGCGAGAACACGTGAGTGGAGATACGGATTGGTGAATTCAGGAAGGTTGCTAGTCATCTTAGGGTCTAAAGGTGGGGGACATGAATAAAGAGGTGGTCAGAGAAGAAAATACAGAGAACTTGAGTGGAATTAGTCTAGCAGTGGTGCAGTAGCTGATAAATTCATGAGAACACTGGAAAAGTTGGGTGTTAAGAAGCCAGGGATGTGAAAAACAAGACCTTGCTTTCACTGGCAAAATGAGATTGGCCTCTAGCCTTCCAACTCTGACCCCCAGAGCACATGATGTCTGTACTTTTGTTTCTCAGGAGTATGAAATAAGCTGAAATACTTCAGTAAGATCAGAAGTGAATTCTGGAAGGACACACTGTATGGATTTGTATGTTAATAATCAACCAAAGTATGAATCGCCTCTGTCTGAACCCTTTAGTGGGTTCGATACTGTTTGGGCTCTCCTCAGCAAGATCTTTCTAGCAGAAAGAGGGAGGCCCTTGTAGGCAGAACTGGTGAACACTGGGAATCTGCTCTTGGGCTCTTCCTGTGCATAAGCAGTATCCTTCAGACATACTGACGAAAGACACTCCTCGGGAAAGAAAACCTGGCCACGTGAGACACTGTCTGTACTAATTTTCCAAATCAGAAAAATACAAACACAAACAGTTCTTCTGTGATTAAAAGGAAGGGGACCCCCCCCTCCCCAAATAAGCAAAACTTCAGACTCCTTTTTCAAACCTGTGACACCTGAGAACACCAAATGTCACTTGCAGAGGCCCAGGAAAGCACTCAGACAGAGTAAGCCGGGTGTGGGCCAACTTATGGAACGAGTGGCCAGAGTTGCGGTCAGACAGGGCGACGCTGATGAGCATGTGTGGAGCTGGCTGTGGTGTGGTTCGGGCTGCACAGTTCCCTCTTCCAGCCTGCACCTCGGGGCCAGGAAGGGGCTTGTAACGGATGAGGACGTGAGTGGCAAGAGTTTGGGCACATTTTTACAAGCAGACTAAAAGGCCTTTTTCCCTGATGATTGGAACTCAACATCGAAGTGATACATTTTTAGCTCAAAGTAGAATACCCTCTGTTAGTCCAAAGTAATTATTCATTGTGGACAATAAAGGTTACATATACTTACAATAATTCCCCATATAGTATTCTATCATCAAACATAACTGAAAATCAAAATACCATTTATACATTTGCTCATTGGGGCCCCTAAGTGAAGAACATTGGTAGTCATGAAGAGAATCCATACTTAGGTTAAAGGAAGGACCTTTAGAAGAAAGTATCTGGGGGATACATTTATTTGATCTGAAATGTGCAAGGACATTAACACACTAGTTAGGAAAAGTCATTTAGAAAAGAATCTGAGAATAAACAAGTTTATCAGTTGGTGAGGTTTTGGGATGTCATTCTCTTTTGTTCACCTGGTAAAGAGTAAAGGAGAAAAACCTGGCAGAAGCGAAGGCTTCTGAACCTGTAGGTTGGTTTAGGGGAAACTCCTCTGTTCTCAGCCCTCTCACAGCCTACAGTGCTTTCCTGTCTCCTTCAGCTTTGCGGTAAAGCCTGAGAATGGACTTGGCCAAAATCAAATGTTTTTCCTTGGTATAAATTTGTCATTTCATTTATTGGAAATTTAGGATTTGTACTCTGTAGGGACATAGCCTCTGCTTCATTGGTAAAATAGCTAATTGTTGAGGCAGTAAGTAGATATAGTTGGTAAAAATAGGAATTAGTAATCTCTTAAAGGGAAAGTACTTCTGAATCAACTCAGATTTTATTTTGCATGAAATTGTGACATTTAACACATAATTTTTCTTCCCACTTTGAGAATGTCAGCTCATACTTTGTCCTGTTTTTTTATATTGTTTCTGCTATTACAGTTGTCCCAATTTTTCCCACTTTGCCCCCCTCCACTTGGTCCCCACCCCCACTCCCTCAGGCAATCCCCACACCGTTGTCCGTGTCCATGTGTCATGTATATATGTTCTTTGCCTACTATATTCCCTGTGCTGTACTTTGATCCCCAACCGATTTGTGTTTTGTAATCCCTTCACCTTTTGCACTCGTCATCCTGACCCCCTGCCATTTGGCAACCATCAAAATATTCTCTATAAGTCTGTTTCTGTTCTGCATGTTAATTTTGTTTTTTAGATTCCATTATTGATAGATATGTGTTTATTACCATTTTATTGTTCATATTTTTTAAAAAGATTTTACCTTTAGAGAAAGGGGAAAGGAAGGAGAAAGAGAGAGAGAGAAACGCCAGTGTGTGGTTGCCTCTCATGTGCCCGCCCACCCAGGCATGTGCCCTGACTGGGAATCGAACTAGTGACCCTTTGGTTCGCAGGCCAGCACTCAATCTACTGAGCCACACCAGACAGGGCTATTGTTCATATTTTTTAATCTTTTTAGAAAGATCATTTAACATTTCATATAATGTTTTGGTGATGATGAACTCGTTTAGCTTTTTCTTGTCTCGGAAGTTCTTTATCTGTCCATTGATTCTAGAGGATAGTTCTGTTGGATAGAGTAATCTTGGTTGTAGGTCTTTACCTTTCATCACTTTGAATATATCTTGGCCAGTCCCTTGTAGTCTGCAAAATTTCTTTTGAGAAATCAACTGACAGTCTTATGAGAACGCACCTGTTGGTAACTAACTGCTCTTCTCTTGGCTGCTTTTAAGAGTCTCTCTTGTCTTTAACCTTTGGCATTTTAATTATTAAGGCTCTTGGTATAGGCCTCTTAAGAGTTCATCTTGTTTGGTGCTTCCTGGACTTGGATGTCTGCTTCCTTCACCAAGTGAGGGAGGTTTTCTGTCAGTGTTTTTTCAAATAGATTTCCAGTTTCTTGTTCTCTCTTCTCTCTCCAGCACCCCCATGACATGACTGTTGGCGCACTTGAAGTTGTCCCAGATGCTTCTTACACTGTCCTCGTTTTTAATTCTTTTTTCTTCTTGTTCTGAGTGGGTGTTTTTCACTTCTTCATATTCTAAATCACTGATTTGATTCTCAGTTCTATCCCCTCTGCTCTTGATTCCCTGTAAATTGTTCTTCATTTCAGTTAGTATATCCTTCATTTCTGACTAGTTCTCTTTTGTGGTTTCCGTGCCCTTTTTTATGTGTTGAAGTTCTAAGTTCACTGAGCATCCATATAACCTGTGTTTTGAACTCTGCGTGCAGCAGACCACTTGTCTCCATTTTGATTAGTTCTCCCTCTGGATTTCTGCTCTATTCCTTAATTTGGGCCATGCTTCTTTGTCTCCTCACTTTGGCAGCCTCCCTGTTTGTTTCCATGTATCGGGTAGAGCTGCTACAACTACCTGGCTTGGTAGAGTAGCCTAATGTAGTAAGTGTCTCATAGGGTCCAATGGCACAGCCTCTTGTATCAGCTAAGCTGGGCACTCAAGGTACGTCTACCATGTGGGGCTATGTATTATCCTCCTCCTGCAGCTAAAACTTTATTGCTGTTGGCAGGTCAGTGGGAGGGATTTATTCAGGCCAGTCAGCCCTAAGGACTGGCAGTGACCACTGACCACCAACCCATGACCACCATGGAGGAGCATCCACTGTGCAGGGCCCACTCCACAGATCAGGACTTCCTTCAGCAGGGCTCTGGGACCTGCTGAGTCTGCCCTTAAGTGTGTCACTTATGGAGGTGGTTTGGTGGTGATGCTCCAAAGTGGTGTATAGCTGTCCACTGGATGTGCAGGCTCTGGGGCCTCCTGGGAGGTGCAGGCCAAGGTCAGCACCCCTTTTGTTCTGTCCAGGACCACCCAAATAAGCAACAAAGCAATTTGTGGTGAGCTTGGAGGCCCAGCTGTGAACCAAGGCCAGCTGTTTGCTACCAGTGCTAGGTCTGGGGCCACTTAGCAATAAGCATGGGGCATGCTGAGGCCAAGTGCTGTTTGTTTGAGAGAATTGTGAAAATCTGAGGCATGAGCCAAGTTACAAGCCATTCATATGGAAAAGCCCCTGGAAATAGTTTGGGTGGGCCCTGAAAGCTGGTTGGGGTGGAGCCTTGAGGGGAATCACCAGGAAGGGGCAGTGTTAACAAGGTTGATGGGTCTCATATGAGCCACCCACCTGCAGGCTCTGTGGCTTTGGTTGGGGGTGGGGAGGAGCATTCAGAAAAGGAACAATGGCCCCTGCCTGCACTTTTGTCCGGGAGAAAGCTGTCCCCCCAGCTCTCGCCCTAATACTGGACAGTTCCTCCCTACATGTCTCCATGCCTTTCAATCTGCTGCCCACACACACTGGAGCTCAGAGGGGGTGAGTTCAAGTAAGTCCATGCCTAAGCCCTTTTAGAGGAACTGCCTGAGACTCTAGCAGTGTCTGTCTGCCACAGCCTCAATCCCTGCTGTTTTTTTCTCCAAGAAGTTCTGGGGACTTCCTGGCCACTGGAACCCTGGTGTGGGGCTGGGACCCCTTGCTCCTGAGATACTGCTCCCAATTTTAATCCACCACCTGTGGGCATGGGACCAGCTTGTTCCTACCAGTCTGAATGTAATTTCTTTAATTCTGTAGTTGTAGGGCTTCCGTTCAGCTCGATTTCTGACACTCTGAATGATGGTGGTTCTGTAGCTCAGTTGTCATTTTGATGTTACTGTGCAAGGAGGCGAGCTGTGTTTACCTGTACCACCATCTCAGATGAAAGCCTCTCCTTTATCCTGTTTTTGAAGGTTACTATGAAAGAAATAGAAGCTTGGGAAATCAGTGTTTTTGCCTTCTTCTCCTGCAGGTCCCAGTAGGGATGGCACAATCAGTGAGGACACCATCCGGGCTTCTCTCATCTCAGCGGTCAGTGACAAACTGAGGTGGCGGATGAAGGAGGAGATGGACCGTGCGCAGGCAGAGCTCAATGCCTTGAAACGAACAGAAGAGGACCTGAAAAAGGGTCACCAGAAACTGGAAGAGATGGTTACGCGTTTAGATCAAGAAGTAGTAAGTAACTTATTGAGTACTTGCCGTTTTCACATGGAATTGTAGGCAGGACAGAGTGTTTTGTTACCTTGTCAGTGGACAGTGTGGGGTCCAGTCAGAGTTCAGTAAATTGTACATGTCCTTTTAAGCATTTGATATTGCTTCTCTACAGCTTTATTTAAAGTGGAGCCTGTGTTTGATCTTGGGAGGGCAGTTGGTACTTAGAACATTTTTGTCTACACCTTTACCTGGGGAATGAGGTTTTCACCCAAAGGAGGACAGTTCTTTGAGTACTTGATTTGCCATTACCAGGAAATAAGAATTTCAGAGCGCCCAGCCCTGGTAAAGATGTGCAGACTTCAGGGTCAGTCTTTTTTTGTTTCCAAATGTTGTGTGAGCTGTATTTAAAGTATCTTCATTGAGCCCATCTAGTTTAATGATCCAAAGTATGAGGGTGACTTACGAGCTACACATAGATGTAGTGTTTGCAGCCTTTAGCTCTTACACTTTCTCACACTTTTTATCAGGCTACAGTGCTCTGAATAGTCAGATAAGTCAGCCCTGTGACTTCCACCGGGAAGTAGAAGCACTAGCACTTCTAATTTGAGTGCCAGCTTCATTCTCTGCTCTCATTCCGTGAGGGAGAATTTATTACAGGAAATGTGCATTTTTGGTGAAAGGGTTGAGTGTGTAAGGGCTTTGGGGAGAGGGACTTGTTATATGCCCATCTGTTTTACAAAATGATTCCAGCGTGAAGTGAGCTTCCCAGTAGCCAGCTGTTTTCAGATGTTCAGGAAAGCAACCCCAGTACAACTTGGGGCCTGCAGCTGCCACCTGTGATATCTTGCAACTAGTATTCAGGTGTTCAGGGATCTGTGTGTTGAATCCTCTATAGACTGGGGAAGAGTTATTCTTCTGTGGCAGAGGCCCACTTGTTTGAAAGAAAGGTCACTTCTGTGATTTTCATGTAAGGAACCTCCAGCGGGACAGGTTTAGTTTACAATTTCATTGTCAGTGGTCAGTGATGAGCTCATCACTGCTCCTGAAAGGGTTCAGCTCGAGTACCTCCAACGTCATCCTGGGCTCACTCAGCTATTGTAGATCATACCTTTCCCACTACCTCTGGCCAGTATGCTGTCTGAAGTATTAATCTCATCTGTGAGTTGTTAAACATTGCCTTTTTATTAGAAAATCATTTCTGTGAGGTTGAGTTGGAGATGCCTGACAAGCAGATAACTGTGTGTAATTAGTATGAAGTTATCATGTGTGGACTGTTCTGTTTCAGGCTGAGGTCGATAAAAACATAGAACTTTTGAGAAAGAAGGACGAAGAACTCAGCTCTGCTCTGGAGAAAATGGAAAATCAGTCTGAAAACAACGATATTGATGAAGTTATCATTCCCACAGCCCCACTATATAAACAGATCCTAAATCTGTACGCAGAGGAAAATGCTATTGAAGACACTATCTTTTACCTGGGAGAAGCCTTGAGGCGGGGAGTCATAGACCTGGATGTCTTCCTAAAGGTATGTCTTCCTCACCTGCTGTCCGGGGTTTTGGAACTTTTAGAGGCACTGAGTTTGAAAACCACAAACCAAGCGGGTTTCTCTGTAGGGTGGGGGTTAAAGTTCCTCATCTTCCCAAGAGAGAGCGAGAGATAGAAGGCAGTAAGCAGTGTCTACTCACCTGCAGAGGGGTGAGAACCATCCGAGCAGGGGAAGAAGATGGGCTTAGCGCTGCATCTCTTCTGTCTCACTGCCTGGTGTGTCTGGGTGGGTCTGGAGGTGCCGTCAGATTCCCGTTGGTTCTTTCAGGTCGTATCTTCTGAATTGAGATCACCGGCTATCCTCCTGCCCATTGTTTTTCTGATAATTTTTCTTAGAGCTACATAATTTTAGACCTGTTTTTCCAGATCAAACAGCCCTGCCGAGTTTTGGGCTGCCCTGGTACTAAAGCCCTTCTGAATGAAGGTTGTTTCAGGCTTAAACACTGTTGTCCAGACATGAGGCAAAGAGCCTACGAGCCAGATGTACCTACTGCTCCCCGTGGGGTCATAAGCAGCACGGTTGTAGGAACAGCAGTAGCCACCCTTTGGGTACTCAGTCCAGCTGTTGTTGGTGGTGCTGTTGGTCACTTGCTCATCTTGCCTTTCCCACTGGGAGTGAGGGGCCAGACTAGTCTTTGACCTTCTGCAGCACATGAATGGCCGGGTTCCCTTTCTAGACACTCCCCTGCTTAGGTGGCAGAGCCTGGGGGCAGGTGCACGTGGAGAGGAGGCAAGCGAGGTGTGCTGTTTGCCAAGCACTGGACAAAAACTGGCCTTGTGTTGCCCACTCCTGCCCTTCCTGGTCAAGTGAGGACGAACAGTCACAGTTACCACGGTTTTCTGTGACTTTTGTTAGGGTCACAGTACAAGTTGCCCTATCATCTTGATAATCTCCAGATGTAGCTCAAATTCTCAAATTCCTGAGCCAGATCCTGCAGTATGGTGCTTTTCTTATGGGGAGAGAGAGAGGTAAATATAAGGTCTCAGAAGACTACTTTCATTAATACAGCCTACCACCAGTATAAATCTAGTGGAGTTTAAAAGGCCACGTGTAATGAAGTATTGGTGTCAAAGGAAGGTTGGTATAATGAATTCTTAGAATTCTTAGGTCTATACTTTGTGCCTCACCAAAGCCATTCTAAACTGTTAAACTTTCCCCCCTCCCAGCATGTACGTCTTCTGTCCCGTAAACAGTTCCAGCTGAGGGCACTAATGCAAAAAGCGAGAAAGACTGCCGGTCTCAGTGACCTCTACTGACCTCTCCGACACCAGCTGGACATTGCGCTCTTCTTAAGCATTCTTTTCTTCTATTTCTTTCTCTAATCAGTAGGTGCCCAGAATAAGTTATTGCAGTTTATCATTCAAGTGTAAAATATTTTGAATCGATAATATATTTTCTGTTTTCTTTTGGTAAAGACTGGCTTTTATTAATGCACTTTCTATCCTCTGTAAACTTTTTGTGCTGAATGTTGGGACTGACTATGCTAAATAAAATTTGTTGCATAACTGCTCTCTTCGTTATTGAACATCTTTAGGGAAAATCCATGAAACCTTAATAAGATGCCTGGCTCTTAATTTAGCTAACAAAGCGTAATATCCCATGTAAGTTGAAATTTAGCTTTATTTATTCTATAGCATATAAAGTGGGTTGTGTTTAGTGTGGGATATATACATGGACATCTCAATTTTGGAATAACTGAAATTCAGGGATTTGAGTGGCTTTTTCTGTGAAAGGCCTTGGTGACATCGCCTGCAGTCTCTACCTAGATTTGTTTCCTGTCTAGGCCTGGTGGCAGCATGACTCTTTTCATCGAGGAGAAAGTGGCAGGAGGCCACACTATATACCTAAGAACTTACTTGAACTAGGCAAGACAGTCTGACCACAATTAAGGAGGAAGATACAATGTACCTTTTATTGTCATTTGAAGTCAGTGTTCCTGGCAAGTGGTTCTGTGCCAAATGTCCTGCAGAACTCCTCTAATAGAATTCTCTCCATCACAATGAGAGAACTAGAAAGGTCATGAAATTATAAAAGAAGCATAGGTTCTAATTCGAGATTCTCTTTAAGATACTTAGGGAGCCAGGCAACCTACTCTGTAGTTCTCCAGAGAAAAGAATAACCAACTCAGTCATCACTGAAATCACTGTAGAGCTTTTCTTAAAAAATAAAAATCTACTTGTAAATATTACCAAAATAAAAACTAGCAAGTTCAAGGTTTAATTAGTGTCATTTAGCATTATTTTTGACACATAGCAAGTACAGGTTTCTATCTCCTCAGCAGCAATGAACAACATGTTTTAGGAAGAGAGGTGCTTTCATAAGATCAACCTCAAAAATTAATTGTGCCTCGTAAATGTTCTTTTACCTCTATGTTATATTATTGTTAAATAACTTTTCACACAGAAACATGCTACCTTACTTGTGGTAGAAACTGTATACACGCTCCGAAGCTTCTTCAAAATACTTTGTTGTATCAGCTACAGACAGGGCAACACCCCAAGAAGTCTGTCCTTTCGTTTTAAGCATCCCGTAGCCACTGTGGAGTTAGAAGAAATCATGAACATAAGTTTAGAAGAAACACTTGTCACTGAACATCCGTTGTGTGGGAACCTATTTGACAGTGTCACAAAACTGAAATGTTTCCATCAATAATTTCTCTTAGAAATTTCTTACAGGGTTTGGTTGGTTACTTAAGATAAACAGTTAGGAGGGTAAGTACAGAGATCTAGAAATTAATCTGAAATCAACTTTACCACTACCAGTAAAGCCTGGGCAGTGACAGTTTAACAGAATGTATCATCAGTCCACAGCGAGTGCCGATTATGTGTGCAGCAGTGAGAGAGATGGACCCCTACCTTGCTGCTTAAGAATGTGAATACAATCACACGGAAATGAAATGCTCATGAAAGAAAAATATGAGAAATGTAAAAACACATATTTAAGGGACTTAATCTCATCCCTCTGGCAGAATTCAGGACTCACTAATTTCCAAGACACTGAAAATGCAAAAAAAAAACCTCACGTCTCACCTGGCAACTACTTCTCCGTGAACAGCCTCCGGCTGCTCAGGGTCTTTGGCAGTTCCTGTGTCTGCGCTCAGGTCCTTCAGAGGGACCGGATCCCAGCAGTGCTCACTCCACTCCACACAGGAACTGAGAAAAAGGGACCAAGATACCTATTCACTGCCTGGTATTATATAACAGGATTTGTTTTAAACCTTAGGAAAACTGTTACAATTGCCCTGAGTGGTTTTCAACTTGGATTGTTCAACAGAACTGTCAAAAAATGCAGATGTCCAAGTCCCACCTCATCTCTGCTACATCAAAGCCTCCAGGGATGGGGCCCACAATTCTATCTTGGCAGAGATTTCTGCAAACAAGAGAGCGACAGTTTTGAACTTTCAACTATTGATGTTTTAACTTTTATCACTTCAAATCCTTTTCCATATCCAGGGCTTATATCAGGTGGATTTCCAGGGTTCCTAGCCAGAAGAAATTCTCCTCTGAGCTTTAATTTTTTTTCAATTCATATGAGGAATTCATATCCCTTTTCTGAACTAAACTGGCCCAACTTTATATGTAAACTACATCATGTTACTTAGTGCTGTAATTATCATTGTAACCATACACATACAAGATTATAGTAACACTGTTTTTTCACATTTGTATTTCTGGTAGGTTATTATAAAAGTAATAACTGCAAAACAAAAAACACTAATAATATGGCCTAAAGGGCAGTAAAAGTCCTTTCTCTCTGCCCAGGAGCTGTTTTACTTTATGATTAAATAGCTACATGATTAATATAGTCTAGACATATTTCAGAGTATGAATGGCTCACTGGTGCTTGTAAGGCTTACCACTTGAGTCTCCGTGCTCTCCAAGGATCAACCCATGGATCCAACTTTCCGAGTGGATCCCAAGCCTCTGCCCAATCAGGAGACGGAAATGGGCGGTGTACCGGGTACAGCCACTCCCTGTCACATGGTTTTGGGGAAATGCACTCAACTCCCAGGCGACGTAAGTTAAGATTCCCACTGAGAAGAAAGCAATTCAAATCATAAAACATTCTCATTCAAAGTAAGCTTTTTTTAGATTTATCTAAATTAAAACTGGTAAATCTGATTGGGTTTTGGGGGGAGGAAGGGCATAGTTCTTTACCCAACTCCAGCCATATGCCACAATTCCAACAGTACATACCCACAGAAATCATTTAAAACTTTTGTATTGCTACTTTGCATGGCCTGTTTTGCAGAAACACGGGTTTTTTTTAACTCCATCAAATATTTGAGAAACAGTAAATGAATACCCCTTTATCAAGTCTTTTAAGTAATTTTTCTCAGAGTAACCCATTTAGAGCACAAAGCTTGGTAAAGGGGGAACAGAGAAACAAGATAGAATAACTGTTGGGCAAAACAAAATCAAGCCTTAGTCTCGGCAGGCAAGGGAAGAAATGTTGGCACAGTCTGATGTTTTAGGTGTGTGAACTATTTTAAATAGCATTAGCGTTTTATTAAGAATTTTTTCTTACTTGATTTAAAAAGTAGTAACTATTAGCCAAAAGAAGGGCAGTGTACCTACAGTAATAGCAAATGAAATGAGTTTTCAACAACAAAAAGCATTAATGGGGATAAAATAATAAGATATGAAATAATCCTATAATATATAATAATTATAAACTTAGAGTCTCAAAATATATGAAGAAAAATGGGAAATTATAAGGTGTATTTGATTCATAATATAGTGGACAATTACAACATAGCTTTATCAAAAATGTATATAGATGAGGAAAAATAAAAAATTATTAAAATTTAGAAAGTTAGTGTGAATAAATAAATATACGAAGATCATCATGCCCAGTATAGTCCATTTTACCCCCAAAACAAGGAACATGTACATTTCCCATTGATTACGTCAGAAAGTAAAAGCTTCACAGATTTGAAAAAGCTGAAGTTAAGCCACATTTCTTTGATTCAATTGAGCTAAGAACAACCACAATAAGTTTTTTAATGTTTCAAAGCATATACATATATATGTATACACACATACATACATACATATATTGTTAAATGATTCACTGAATTAAAGAGAAAATGAAACTAGGAACTATAAAATATTTAGAACTAAATGACAAAGTACCACAAAGCCAAAACATGTGGTACTTACTGGTAAATGTATGTTTTTAATGCGTTTTTAAAACCAAATTTAAAGTCAATGACAGACTTATTGATCATAATGTAAAAAGGAGTAAAGATAAAAGTGTAGAAAGTAAGATAAGAAACCAGTATCAAAATAGAAAGGTAATTCTTAGGGAAAGAGAGACTGATAAATTAGGAAACTAGCAAAACTAGGGGGTTAAAGGGCTGCGTCCCAAGCAAATACTAGAAAACAGAAGAGGTAACTACAGACACGGTAAAGGTTTAGAACGTCATAAAATACGAAACATGCCAGTACATTTAAAAACTTGTATGAAATGGACAACTCTAGAAAACTTCCTAAACTGTCAGGAATGGAAAGTTTGAGTAAACATACATACATGACCTATCAAAAATTACTATTTCAAACTTTTACAGATGAGTTTTATCAAGTGGGGTTTTTGAAAAATCATGATACAGAACTGCAAAGATGGTTCAGTACCTCATGAGACTTAAAGAAAAAGATATGATTGTTTGAATTTTATAAAAACCTATTAAATTCCAAACCCATTTAAAGTTTTAAGAAATAAACTCAACAATCTGGAAAAGAAGGAAACTTCCTTAACCTCTAAACAGAATCTATCAAAATCCAAAACAGGCCCTGGCTGGTGTAGCTCAGTGGATTGAGCGCGGGCCTGCAAACCATACAATCAAGGTTTGATTCCCAGTCAGTGCACATGCCTGGGTTGCAGACCAGTTCCCTGCAGGCCAGTTCCCAGCAGGGGACCCACGAAAGGCAACCATACATTGATGTTTCTCTCCCTCTCTCCTTCTCTTCCCCTCTAAAGATAAATAAATAAAATATTTTAAAAAACACATTTAAAAAAAATTAGTAATGGCATTTAGAAAATAGAAATCACAGAGCCTGGTAGGTTATAAATGATCGATGGTGATAATGATATTAATGATAAAAGCAATAATATCTATTTTAAAAATCCAAAACAAACACATACAATGAAGAAAAATTAGGATTCTCATTCCAGTCAGGAAGACAAGGATACCTAGCGTTTTCATTTAACTTCACACTGGAGAGATCCTAGTTCCGCAGCAGGACAGGAGAAAGATAAAGGTCTTAAGAGTAGGCAGAATTCCTTATTTGGAGATGATAGGTTTGTCTAGTAGGAAATGTATTACAACCTACAGACTTTAAAGAACAAAGAGGAAAAAGAACAGAGACTTGGAGAACACCCTTAAACACACCAACATATTCATTATAGTAACGAGAAGGAAAAAAGAGAAAGGAGCAGAACAATTACTTGAAGAAATAATGGCTGAAACTTCCCAAATATGAAACACAGCAACCTACAGAGCCAAGAAGTTAAAGGAACTCCAAATAAGATAAAATCAAAGAGATTCCCCCTTAGACACATCAAAAGCCAAAGAGAAAATACTGGGAACAGCAAGAGAAAACAGACATTGCATTCAAGGGAGCCAAAGTAAGCACATAGCTGACTTCTAATCTGAAACAGCAGAGGTCAGAAGACAGTGGATAACACTGACAGTGTGGGAAGGGAAACCACCAGCAACCATATGGCAGCGAACCTGTATCGGGAACATGAAGGCAGTATAAGACATTCCCAAATAAACAAAGACAGAAATCTACCACTATATTCAGACCTGCCTTACAATACATCCTCTGAACAGTTCTGGATGAAAGGAAGTGGCATCATGTAGCAATTCAAACTGACACCAAGATACAAAAAGCACTGGTGATATCTGGTAATAGTGATTAAGTAGCAACTATGAAAAAGTATGATTTATATGTGCATACAATTTGACTATATATTTTATATATAAATATAAATTGTAAGTACTATAAATGTAATCACATATAAGTGTATACACACACATGCACACTTTTATTTAAAGCACAGCTGCATGAAACAGCATCTATAAAATGGAATTGCTGAGGCTACAGGATGCAGAGATGCAAGGTGTTTGGTACTAACAACCTGGAGGAGAAGAAGGGCAGGAAGCCAGCGTAGAGTAGAGAAGTGACACCAGACTAACTCCAATCTAGACAAAAAAATGAAGAATACCAGAATTTAAAAACAAGGTTAACAGAAAAACCCAAAGCTTTATAAATGTATTTTTCTCCTTTCTCCTCTGAACTTCTACAAAAGACAACCTGATAATGTAACCCTAAGAACAACCATTTAAACACTCAAAAAACATACTTAAAATTAATAAAGGAATTAAAATGGTATTCGATACTTTAGAAAATACTCTTTAATGCAAAAAAAGTAAAAGAGGGACCAAGGAACAAAAGAAGTCATAAGACCTATAGAAACAGCCAAATGGTATGCACATATCCAAGCCTCTCAATAAAAACAACACGGAATAAATGATCCATTCAAAAGATTCTCAAACTGCATAAAGAGGAATCTAACTATATTGCCCTGTAGAAAGGGCACGTTTTAGATTTAAGGGGTTGTAAACAGGTTGACACTGAAAGGGTGGGAAATTGTACACCATATGAACAGCAACCACGGGAACCTGGGTAGCTCTAATGTCAAGATAAAATTTTGACCAAGAAAAGTTACCAGAAACCAACAGGGATATTTTGTGAGAGTAGAGTTATTTCATCAGGAAGGTATATGACAATTACATACCTAGGCTCTAAAATATATGAAGGGAAAATGGAAGGCAGAAGTAGGCAACTTAATAATAATAACTGAAAACCAACATCACGCCATGGCTGGTGTGGCTCAGTTGTTTGAGCATCGGCCTGTAAACCGAAAGGTTGCTGGTTTGATTCTGTCCTGGTCAGGGTACATGCCTGGTTCCCAGGTTTGGTTCCAGTTGGGACGTATGCTACAGGCAACTGATCGAAGCTTCTCTTGCACACTGATGTTTCTCTCCCTCTCAAGTCCCTCCCTTCCCCTCTCTCTAAAACCAATAAGTAAAAATTTGAAGAAAAAAAAAAAGATAAGTGACACCACACTCTTTGATTATGGACAGAACTACTACTCGGGTAATCAGCAAGAATACAGAAGAGTCTATCACTATCAACCAAGTAGAATTAGTGACATCTTACAGAACACCCAAACATTACAGAAAATACATTATCAAGTACACATGGAATGTTTTTCTTACCTTTTAAAATCCTTATCCAAGGATATGTTTTTATTGATTTGAGAGAGAGAGAAACATCGATGTGTGAGATGAATATTGATTGGCTGCCTTCGACCAGGGATTGAACCTACAATTTTTGGTGCACAGGACAGCGCTCCAACCAGCTGGGCCAGGGATGGAATGTTTCCCATATGTGAAGCAACAAAATAAATCTCAACAAATTTGAGCTGAAATCATAACAAAGTATAACCTCATAACCACAACAGAATGAAATTAGAAGTATCAACATAAGGAAACCTGAGAAGTTCACAAACGCTTGAAAACTAGCACATTCCCCTAAGTTAGCAATTTCCACTGGTGTGCTGCAGTAGCCACACCGGTGTGCCACAAAAGCTTTTAAAACATGCTTATCTGACTATTTTTCAGGGGCTCTGACCTCTTTTCCCTTAGATTGTCCAATTAAAAAAAAGATAAGAGCCAACACAATAATGGCTGTCTGGTTTGAATGAATCAAAATTATATGTATTTTTTGGTGGCTCAGCAAACAATATGTTTGGTGTGCTGCAGAATTTTAGTAATTACTTTATGAGTGGAATGAGATGAGAAAGGTTGAACATTGCTGCCCTAAGTACCAAGGGTCCCACAGAGGCAGAGGCTCGGACAGGTTCAAGATCTGGCTCCAGCCCTAACCCACCCCAGTGGCTGGAGGTGTAATGGACATTAGTACAGCCTTACAAAAGATGCTGAAAACCGCCTTCAATACAGAAATATTTTATAAAATTATGGAACAAAATTTAAATAACTAATATCAAAATTAAAATAAACTTAATTATGTACTCAGTTTGGGCCTGCCTACAGAGAACAACTATTCCAAATGATCCTGAAATACAGTGATTGGACTGAATATCCCAGCCTGGATTTCCAACTTCCAAACTCAATCAGCTACCTGTTTGACATTTCCTCTCGAGTGTCTTTTCAGATTATCTCGAAGTTAACATGTCCCAAGTGGAAACCTTGATTTTTCTTCCCTAAAGCCAACACCCCCTCACTCATCCCTCCCAGGCCCCCACCCCCACATTGAAAGCATCCTAACCCAGGTAAATGGAACCAACATCCAATCAGTTGTTCAAGGAAAAAAATCTAGAAGTCACTTATTATTCCTCCCTGCCCCTCACTACACATAATGTATCAGTAGTCCTGCATATTTTTATCTCCAAAGTATATCTTAAATTTCTCTTTGTGTTTCAGCAGTGAAAAGTCTAGTAAAATTTTGGAGGATCAGGCAGTAATCTATAGTATTACTTTCACTTCTGTACCCTTAGTAATCTAAAAAAAGAGCTCAGATAGGATTTTAGAATGTAAACCTTGAAAGTCACATGATTAAACAAATGATCTTTTTATACACACCACTGTTTTTAAAAAAATCATTATAGGCAACCCCAGTGCCCATCAATAGGCAAGTGCTTAAAAAAGGTAGGATATGTATCTACAATGGAATACTATTCAGCCATGAAAAAGAACAAAATCTTAGTTTTTGCAACAGCATGGATGGATCTAGAGGACATTACACTAAATGAAGTCAGAAAAAAAAAGACAAACACCACATGATTTTACTTATATGTGGAATCTAAAGAACAAGATAGAAACAAACTCATAGATACAGAAAACAGCCTGACAGACAACAGAAGGGAGGAGGTTTTCAGGGCTGGGTCAAAAAGGTGAAGGGATTAGGAAAGGTGGAGGGAATAGGAACTGGTAGTTATGGGCAGTCACGGAGATTGGAACTACCACACAGGGAACGCAGCACCCTGTTCTGTACCTTTTGTACTTTATAGAGTTACAGGTCATATGTACCGAAGACTGGTAAATGAGAATGTTGACTTAGAGAGAGATGCTGTGTGAAAAGACCCTTGAACAGGGATATCTTAGTTCATCCATGTGTTCAAATAATTATCTCCTGGGCACCTAGTACATAAAGTGCAGTAGTTAAGCGCTTCGGCTTTTGAGTCAAATGCAACTGAGTTCAAATCCTTCCTCCATCACTTTTATTTAATCTCAGTTTGCAGACACATCACCTGTAAAACAGTTGTGCTGAGGATTAAATAATATATAGAAAGTGCTTGGCTCAGTGTCTGGCACAAAGTAGGCAGGCAATTATCAATAATTGTTGTGCTAACAATTATTACTGCTGCTCCTAGGAATTTACCAGTGTGGTAACAAACCTCACAAACAAATGCAGTGCAGCCTAATGAAATCTGAACATGTTATGCAAGTACAGAGTAGGGAGCAATCAGCTTTATAAGAATGGGGAAAGTCTTCATAAAGGGAAATAAAGACATGCTTTCTTTGATACTCATGTAGTATTAGAATATTTACAGTATTTAATTATGACATTAACCTTTGCTAGGGTTAATGTCATAATGTCCCTTCACCTTTTTGACCCAGCCCTGAAAACCTCCTCCCTTCTGTTGTCAGGCTGTTTTCTGTATCTATGAGTTTGTTTCTATTTTGTTTATTCTGTTCTTTAGATTCCACATATAAGTAAAATCATGTGGTGTTTGTCTTTTTTTTTCTGACTTCACTTAGTGTAATATCTTCTAGATCCATCCATGCTGTTGCAAAAACTAAGATTTTATTCTTTTTCATGCTAGAAACAATATTTGGCATTTTCATGAAAGGGCTGCCATGTTGAAGATCCATTGTCTCGCCCATCAGTTTGCCTTCATCAGCGTCCACAAAGGCAAGTTCATCATCACTCAAGCCCTAAAAGACCCAGTTGGGGAGGGGGGCTCTTGATTCATTAGAGAATAAAAGAAAATTTTTATTAGAAGGCATAGTAAGTATGTCAACGTTGCATTATGACGTAAAAGTCAGAAAAGAAGAAATATAAGTTAGCAAGAGGGCCGTTTCAGCTCCTAATTAGGAAAACAAAACCAGAGCAGTCTCTGAAGGTTGTGAACATCTCCTCAGTTTAAGCGGAGGCTGCACAGCGACCAACTGTAAAGCAGCGATTCTGTAGGAGTCTCACCAGACTGTGAGCTCCTTGGAAATGGGCAGTCTCACATGTCTCCACTCATCCGGGGATTAGCATCTGCCTAGCTGGCACAGAGGAGCTCGATACACATTTTCTGCAAAAAAAAAGGAATTAAAAAATCAGGCCCCCTCCAACTCCAAAATTTTATACCGTGGTTCTATAATCAAGCAATGTTACCTGCAAAAACTAGTCAATAGTATATATTTCTAGCAAGCTGCTTTATATGTAAGAAAGAAGGGGAAATAACATATTCGCATTTGCAAAAGAAATGCTAGAGGACTAGAGGACTCCACAGGAGGAACCAGTTTACACGGTGGCCTGGGGCAGCTGTTGGGGGGAAGGGTGGACGGAACCCGGGCGACAGTGTGACTTCTCCACAGACATGTTTTTATGTCCTATTCTTAACCATGTGGATGTATTACCTTTTGCAAAATGTTTTAAATAGCTACATGTTCTTTTATCTTTATTATATGTTATTACATTTTTCACTAAAAATGAGTTTGTGCTAGTACTTAGAAGTCACTATTCATCTATCTATAGTTTAAGCGTATGCTCAACTTCTATTGTTGGATCTTTTTACTTTATTCTAATTAATGGAAATCCAAAGCCAAGTACTTTGAATTTTAAACTAGATTATACATGATTAACCTAGAAATCTAAACTGTATCACAAGGAAAAGGCCATTGTCCAACAAGATGGCAATGCTTTCTCGACACTCTGAGGTATTTACAGAGCCTGGAGTGGTATGGAACAGAATTTACGCAGTATTGGTAACATTAGCTTTGAAACTTTGTTTTTAACATGTACTGTAACCCTGGTAAAAATGAGCACAACCTAGCACCCTGATCTTGGTTTATAACACAATTCCTCAATAAAAAGAACCAAAGCTCCTTGGGGAAAAGGCTGATTTAAGACTGAAGCAGAAAATATACAAGATGTAGAAGCCGAAACATCTTATAGTGCCAGAAATGAAGGAGGTGCTCAAAACAAACCCCTACATTAATGGGGTGTGTCAAAGAGACACAATAGCCAACTGAAAGAGCTCCCAGTGGTTCAAGCTGAAACAATTTGAGACACAAAATAAATATGTATTGAATTTTAACCCAAAATATAAAATAAAATCCAGGATTCCATACTGATATTAATAAATGACTGAATTATCACTGGCCAGAGTGGCTCAGTTGATTAGAGTGTCATCCTGTAAACTGCCAAGTCACAGGTTCAGTATCTGGTCAGGGCACACACCTCTGTTGTGGGTCAAGTCCCTGGTTGGGGCAAGTGCAGGAGGCAGCCAATCAATGCTTCTCTCTCACGCCAATGTTCCTCTCCCTCTTTCTTGCTCCCTTCCCCCCTCTCCCCCTCCCTTCCCCTCTCTCTAAAATCATTAAGCATGTCCTCGGGTGAGGAATGAATGAATGAATGAGAGAGAGAAAGAAAAATCTCTCATGCAAAAGAATTCCAAATAATTTATGTAGCTACACCCCCCTCAAGGAGCGGGAGCATAACTCCCCACTCTAAGTGTGGGCTGCACATAGAGACTTCCTTCCAAAGAGCATAATATGGAAAGGGCAGGGGGGAGAAAGAGCAGCTTCACAGTGGAGAAACCTAACCCTGCCTCAGCCAGATGACGGAGGGCAACGTCAGCCGTGATAGAGCATGTTGACCGTACACATACTCTGGGTACGATGTGCTGAAAACAACCCTTTACCTTTCTGTCTTCCTCCCAAAAATCCACAACCCCAGTATAACCGTGAGAAAAACACAAGAAAAAATTCTAGTGGAGGGGCATTCTGTGAAATACCCCACCAGTATTCCTCAAAACTGTCAAAGTCGTCATAAACAAGGAAAATCTAACAACCTGCCACAATCTAGAGAAGCCTAAGGAGACAGATGACTAAATGTAATGTGGGGTCCTGGATGGGACCTAGGACAGAAAAAGGATGTTCAGTAAAAACTAAGGAAACACGAGTAAACTGTGGACTTCAATTAATGATCATGTATTAATATTGTTCATGAATTGTGACAAACATACCATACTAAGGTATGATGTCAACTGGATGTAAAGTATACACAGACCTCTGTATTATCTTTTCAAAATGTTCTAAAAAATTGTCTATTAAAATGTTTCCTAATTCAATCTCTCTGGGCCCTCTTTTCTTATTTATAAAAATTAAAATGAAGGGGGAAATAGAACAACTGTAATGGCATAATCAATAAAATATATTTTAAAAAATTAAAACGGGTAGAATAGCCATCCATTATATGTTCTACCCAGTGTTTTTTCTCTTTTAAGGTGCATTTGGCTTTTAGCAATTTTTTTATTATTGTTGTTCAGTTACAGTTGTCCCTATTTTTCCCCCATTACTCTCCCCTGCCCTACCCACCCCCCACCTCCCACATTCAATCCTTGCCCCTATTGTCTTTTTATACTGTCTATTCTAGTAGGCACCATTCCAGACTCTGGATACAACACTGAATGAAATGATTCATGGATATCACACTATAGTAATGGAAGTTTTTATGTATTATAGTATATAATTCAGTAACTTTCAAAGATATTACTGTTTCTTTAATAGGTTTGCACCATATATTTCTAATAAATTACTAAACAATTCCTATGGAGAATTCCTTCTTCATTAGCAAGGAGCTTTTAAGATTTCATAGTCTCCTTGAATAAAGTTACAGAGTTGGGGCCAGGAGAGAGGGAGATTAATGTAAGCCTCACCCAGGAGCTTTGCAGAGAGATTGTGCACCACATTTTCCAAGATACATATAATGTTGTAGTTTGCAACATCATAAAATTCAAGCTCTCGGAGCTTGTGGCTATTATCTTTAGGGATAGGGCCCTCAATCCCCCTCAGAAAAGTCCTTCAAAACAGAGATGATAAACATTATATGTACATAGTATCTGTGCACTTGTCTATTCATACATCTTGAGATAGTCTTTTTTCTCCTCTATAAAATATATCTAATAATCACTTTGGGGGATTATATTAGATACTGTACATAAAGCATAATGTTATCATTATTATTGACGTTGAAAACAAATGCACCGGTTTCCATGTAATGAGTATCCATCAGCATTGAGGACACCACTGATAAAAAGCATTCCAATCTGCAGGACAAAAATGAGTCATGAAGAATTCATATGATTACCAAGAGCAGCGGTTGACAAGAGCTGATGTGCCTTAAGGCTACCATGTCATCTGGGTATGAAACCCAGTGCCAATTCTTTGAATCCAATAAATCATGCCAAGATCCCTTGAAAAAACTTATATATTCCACTGAAAAAGCAAAGCTCAGCTCACAGTTTATTTTTATTTACATTTGAACTTTTAATGGTTTACATTATAACTTCAGATGAAGGTAATATGCTTAGAAAGGATTCAGAATCTTTTTAGCTCTGTGTCTAGTCATTGAACTGGAAGCTAATTTTATCAACTACATCAGTACTAAGAACTACTAAACACCAAAATCGACCTAACATGAATAAGGAATGAAGGGAAATAAAGCTATAGACTAAGAAATGGGAGAGAGATTTTTATAGGAAAAAGACTATTGTGTTTGGTACTGATAGGACAACCACACAACTGAGGGACTGTACACTCTTTTTTCCAGCCACCTATTTCTCCAGTTTTTTAAAATTATTATTTGTTTCTTAGTCAAGCAAATGAGTGAAGGTCAATGTCAACAGGCTTTCACAGATGCTTTTAACACATATGGTACCATCATAAGTACTAGAAAAAGAAGCCCACTCTGGGTGGAGCAATGAAAAAAGGCACCGTTCCTTTGGGTTAAGCCAGATAGGCCTCCCACTCAACCCCTGGCCACAGCCTGCACAACCACGCAGTGGCCTTGCCTCTAACCAGGAAACCTTGCTTAACCCTGTGGCACAAAGCGCACAACTTACTTTTAATAAGATGCTGATTGCACAAGCCATACCAACCGATCCAGTGCCTGTAACAGAGATCTTATTGTGATGAATAGCCTCCTCTGAAGTGAAATTCACAGTAAGTTCACGCTTGACGGTGGCCATCTTGGAAACCTAAGTGAGAAAAAACTGCAAAGCCACTTCTAGATTAAGAACTGGTCTGCAGAGAACTCCTGGGTGCCAGTGAGAAAAGTGCTTCAGACACAACAGGGAAAGACAAAGATGACTGTCACAGCCGGGTAGCTTCTGGCCAGCAGCCCAGCAGCCCAGCACCCAGGAGGCAAACCGAGGAGGAGGAAGGTTTGCAAACCAAGTCAGAAGGGACTGAAAAAAGGAAAAGGGGCTATTCCACTGAAGATGAGCCTACAGCCAGGACGGCCCTTCCTCCCCTCCCAGCCTGGTTCTCCCCCTTCCCCAGCTGTCAGCTCCAGAACCGAGCCCGGAGTCACAGACCCAGGCCCACACGCAGCCAGGCGCGAGGTATCTCCGGCCACACTCACAGGTGAGTAGGGCGCGTGCCAACCGCAAGGGACCCAGAGCCATCCTGGGCAAAAGAAATTAGCTCCAGCCATGTCCACTCTTTGGCTGGTCCGCAGAACTCCCGCTGCCCAGCTCATGTCCGCTCACAGCCGCTCACTTGAGAGGCAGAGGCAGAGAACGAAGGAAAGCTACTTGAGGTCCGAGGAGGAAAATTGTTGATTACCTTGGCTGCACAAGCCACGCCCAGCTCGTGGGGCCTCGTGAGGGACGCGCACACGTGGTGCAGGCCGGAGCCTGGGGGCTCTGAGGCACTGCACCTGCGCGTGCTGCGTGTCACCTGTGCGCAGTTGGCTGGTTGAGGTTGTCTGTAGCCGGCGTTGCTCAAAAAGGCTCCTAGGGTTCCAGTCGCAGGAGGTGCGGCAGGCACATTGAATTAGGGGGGCTCAGCTATGAAAAGGAGTGCTGCTTCCTAGACCCTGTCCACCGAAGCACCCCAGTGAGGCTATTCCAAACCACGTCTGGATGTATCCAGTATGGGCTTTTAACGCCTAATTGGGAATTCTTCACTAGTTCTGTACAAAGAGATCTCAGGGCTACAATTTCCCACCATCAAATGTGAAAAAGTAAAAATTTTTAAATCTTCTATGCAATGGGGATTTTTAAATGAGATATGAAACCCTAAGAATTTGATCATTACAGTGCTGATAAACATTTCAATGAATGGAAGGGAAAAATCAATTCATTATCGAAGTGTAGAATCCAAAATTCCCCTCTCATCCCTAAGTCTGAAATAAACCAAGACATGTCCCTCTCTTCTGCCACATTCCACCTAGATACTGTTTTCTAACTAATCTGAATTGTGATACATAATACACATCTGACAAGTTATTTTCCTAAAATGTAGGTCAGTTTTCCCACCCTTTTAAAAATTAATTCTCCCTCAAGATCATTTTTAGACACTTTCCCCTAATCATTCGATCCCACCCTCATCGTGAAATTAAATATTAAGATTTTTGTCAGATAGGGTTGAGCTTCAGAGGGTAAAACCTTTGTAATATCTAAGGTTTTCACACACACACACACACACACACACACACACACAATTTTCATCCTACCGAGGGTCATATTGCCACTAGGAGAATACATGATGTAGGGCAGTTGTACTTTCTACAATATTCATTGTAGAAACTGTAAATTTACAGCTTTTTGATCTGTCAGAATTTCCTAAAATGAATGTTAATTTGGTACTCAAAGAGGAGCTTGTTTTAAAAGCGTTTTTTTTAAAAGATTTTATTTATTTATTTTTAGACAGTAGAATGGGGGGGCAGGGGGAAAGGAAGCGAAACATCAATGTGTAGATGCATTCGTGTGCCCCCTACTGGGGACCTGACCCACAACCAAGGCATGTGCCCTGACTGGGAATCCAACTGGTGACCCTTTGCTTCACAGGCCAGCACTCAATCCACTGAACCACACCAACCAGGGCAGATTTTATTTTTATTATTTTTTAAAGATTTTTTAACATGATCTTTTAAAAGATTTTATTTATTTGTAGACAGAGGAGGGGGGGGGAGAAAGAGAGGGAGAGAAACATCAATGTGTGGTTGCCTTTCATGAGCCCCCTACTGGGGACCTGGCCTGCAACCCAGGCATGTGCCCTCACTGGGAATCAGACCAAGGACCCTTTGATTCACAGGCCAGCACTCAATCCACTGAGCCACACCAGCCAGGGTGATTTTATTTATTTTTAGAGAGAGGAAAGGGAGGGAGAGAAAAGGGGGAAAAACACTGATGTGCTAGAGAAACATCAATTGATTGCCTCTTGCACACCCCCAACTGGGGACCTGGCTTGCAACCCAGGCATGTGCACTGACTGGGAAAGGAACCATGGAGCTGGTGACCTCTTGGTTTGTGGGGCAATGCCCAATCCAGTCAGCCACACCAGTCAGGGCAGGAGGGGCTTTTTTAAAAAGCCAAAATCCACAGAAGATTCCCCTCTCCCATATTTTGTGCACTGAAGGGAAGTATTTTTTTTTAAGAAAGGAAAAGGAACAAAACAGGAAACTAATCATGCTCAGTTGATGACTAGAATGAAGGCTATTACGATAGCAAGAGTAACTGTGTGGACTGCGACTCCATCAAATGGGTGCACCTGCACTGCAGCCAGGCAGGCCCTCGGGGACTACATACCTGCCTTCCAATTCTTCCCACTAGTCTAGTCTGTTTGTAAATTACCTTGGTCCTCATTTCTTAGCTTTTGTTCCATTGATATTTCCTATAGCTGACTTATTTTTTCTGTGTAATCAGGAAATATATATGTTATATATGTGTATATATATATCTATATATAGATATAGATATATATATATTTGTATATATAATTCAAAAGAATCACATTCACTCCTACCTTGGACAGCTAAAGAGAAAGCTACCAATTGACTATTGTCAAGCATTCATTAATAATCAATAAGATGAGATACCTTAAATACTCACTGAGATACTTGAGGGCAGAAATTGTTATATTGGCCTTATAACCACAAGACAGCAAGAACAGTAGTAGTTTGCTGAATGAACTGGAAAGAATGTAATCCAGGCATATGAACTGAAAGTTGAAAACCAGTGATTCTAGGTTTCATATTAGTTTGAGTTAATCACACAAATCAGGACAAATTTCCTTCTATTTATTTTCCACAATGCACTATTTTCACTTATATCTGATGGTCTGAGCTCTTTGTGTAGTATTTCAACTGACACCAATCAACAATTTAAATTTATATGAATTGGTATAATACTTGAAGGGTTGAAGATATTTAAAATTTTTTATACCAAAGAAAGTTATAGTTCTATATTTCTTCTGCTATACATGGTCTTAAAAACCAGTACTTAGCAAAGATGATACACAGATGCAGGAAACTAATGGAGCAATATAAGGTGAAAAGGTAGGTTCCCTAAGGGAAGAAAGCACAAGATGAAATTTCAGGACTAGAAAAAGTGGTTGTTGTTTTTGTGAGGAAAATCCTAAGTTCTATCTTATGGATTGTTATATTATTCTACTAAACCTGAAGACAACTCTTCCTTTTGTACAAGTTGGGTATCATTAGAATAGAGCTATGAGAGATTCATAAAGGAGGAGAAATCTCTTTAATATTTCTTTTACTAGCCTTGAGAGACTGGAAGTCTGCCATAGGTCTTCAATGGTTTCTTTTGTTTTTTTCTGGATTAAATGAAAATACTTTCAAAATGTAAAACACACAGTTTGTGATTTTCTGCTCTATAAAACAGTGGAACATTAAAAGGCTTTAAAATACCAGGTCCTTTTGGACATTCCAAAGTGTGTTAACACTCTTCTTAAAAAGGGCCTCCTCTTCAGAATTCAAGTTAACTCTCACAATATCAGAGATACCATTTTGTCCCAAGATGCAGGGGATACTGAGAAAAATGTCTTCTTTTATTCCATAAAAACCCTAAAAAGCAAAATTAGATTATTGTTCAGTAACCTGATATGGAAAAGCATCTATGCAAGAGAGCTTCAGAATAAGAGTATACTGGAGAGTCAATGAAGCACAACAAAAATCCCTCAGAGGTAGCTAAGTGACTGTCAACACCACCAAGAGCATCGTGTTCTATGACCATTGGAACTGTGTTCAGTAACAGAGAAAACATGCCACAGGCCTCAAAGTGACCGAGAAAGGCACTATCTACTTTACCTCTTGCTGAGTCATCCTTCCGTCTAAGGGAAAGGATGCCATGTAGTCATTCATGATGTCATTTTAGCTGATAAAGAACTGTCAGATCAAGCAGTCTGTATTTGATATCAAGTATATCAAGAGAACAGTGAATTCAGAAGCAGGAAGTGGCTGAGAAGGCTCTATTTTATATAAATTGACTTTTATATGAGGGGGGTACCACTGAGTTTAGACAATGGAAGCTACAGGTGGCTTTGCAAGTCTCCAGAGGTAAAGCCTCCACTGGAACCCAATGGGTGTGGGTGCTCTCTCATGCCTAGCAGAGCCCCCACCAGTTGCCAGTGGAAATGTACCCTACCCTTCTAGCTACCTCTAGCCATTGCTCCCTCCTTGCTTCTATCCTGAACCTTCCAGGATGTACAGGACCCATGAAATAGGTGCAGTCACTGCCCTATCCTGCCTGGGCTTACTGAATCTCTGGTCAAGAGCTTTAATGTTCCCTCCATGCCTGCACCTGAATCCAAGGCTACAGAAGCAGCTGTCAGAGACAGTCTATTAAAACTTACACAACCCACACAATGCCTGCATGCCCATAGACAAGCCTCTGTCCTCTTCCTACTAGTCCTAGAAGATAAGATGACCCAGTAGATCCCTCATTTCTCCCTGCCCCTCTCCACTCATTGTTCTTCCCTAACCCACCCTTTGGGGTTGAGTATAGGGTTGAAGGAGGTGAGGTCTTGTTCTTCCTCCAGGTCTAATTATAAACAGCAGACACTAGCATTCAGGGAAGGGAGAAGACCCTGACTCTAGAGTGGTGCCACCCAGCTTCCCACAGTAGCTCAGAGCCCACAGGCACTTCTCAGCCAAGCTTCCCTCACCATCTGTGGGGCTCTCCTCAGGAGCTCAGGATACACCCCTTATTCCTGTTCTGCTCTAGACACCTACAGAGGGACTCTCCAGCCACCTCCTCCACTGAAGTCAGCTCCCTCATTTTGGCAGCCACTGTATAGTCAGCTTCATGAGATCCATCAGACCAACCACACGTTTTCCTCTGAGGACCCCCTTCCAGGCTGTACGCACATTCACTCCACTCTGGTGGGAGCCTAGCCCTGGAGGGCACTGCCCCAGCAGACCGTCAGCCCACATCCCATTCCCAGCCCAGCACCAGCTCCAGTTAAATTCACCTTCCCCTCCTTTCCCTTTTCTTGGTCATTCTGTTGCCACCTGTGTGTAACTTTTGAAGTTTTAACATGAGCTTCCAGGGTGATATCGGGAAGGTCACTGTGGCTGGGGAAGGAAGCCCTCTGCAGCACTGCCTGCATCCAGGGAATTTGTTTCCTTCCACTTTCTCTGTCACTCTTCCTTCTAGAAGGGGATTCTCCAATGAGAACTGGATAATTCATGTCCATCCCATCGCACCATTTGGGGGTCTGCTGGGTGGGCTAAAAACAAGGGCCCTGACCCCTGGGGCCTGGCCTGGCCCTGTATGCTGACCATGACCTGCTTCCGTGCCCACCTAGCTTCTTCCTTTCAGTGGCCTGACCCTACTTGCTTTTCCCTTCACCATGCACACCCTTTGCTCCCTTTGCTCTCTGCATTTCAACAACTGACCTTTTTTCAGACGCTCAAGTGTTCTCTACTTATATCTACCTCAGACCCTCTTGCACGTGTGTCCCCTCTTGCTTGGAAAATTAGTCCAGCTTTCCAAATTAACCACTACTTGCCCTGGCTGGTGTGACTCAGTGGATTGAGTGCAGGCCTGGGAATCGAAAGGTCGCCAGTTCAATTCCCGGTCAGGACACATGCCTGGGGTTATGGGCCAGGACTCCAGTTGCGGGTGTGCGAGAGGCAACCAGTCAATGTGTCTCTCACAAATCCATGTTTCATACCCTCCCTTTCTCCATTCCTTCCACTCTCTTTAAAACTAAATAAGTAAAATCTTTTAAAAATTGCTACTCATTACTTGAATTAGGTCACATTTTACTTCCTCAGGAAGACTTCTCGAAACACCATGAATGCCTCCTTCCCAAAGCACTTAAATTCTCTTCTTGTATACTCTTAGCACTTTTTAGTTTTTTCATCATAGCATTTAACATGTTTTGTTGTTTTCTTTGTCATTGTTTTTTTCATTAACTTATATGATGTCAAAGTCTGTCTTTTTGTTCAAAGTTATATACTCAACATCCTGTATAAGGTGCAGAACATAGTAAGGGCTCAACAAATATTCAAGATAATAAAGATCACTTTAAGCCTACCTTAACCATAGTGGAAACTGGATGCACTCTCCTAAGATTTTTCATAATTGATCCTACTATATCAGTCACAGATAGGCCAATAGCCCAAGAGGTATACCCCTTCAGCTTGATAATCTCATAGGCACTACAGATGCAGAAAGTAAGAAAAACAAATTAATGAGGAGTCAATTTAGAAAATATATTTCAAGCATCCATTTTGAAGCAATCTACATGTCAAGGCCACTCCATTAACATTTTCTCAAAAATTTCCTCTAGAAATTATTTATAAATAAGCTATGTAGGTTTCTTTTTTAATTATATTTTATTGATTATGCTATTACAGTTGTCCTGATCTTTTCCCCTTTGTCCCTCTTCACCCAGCACCCCCACTCCTTCAGGCAGTCCCCACACCATTGTTCATGTCCGTAAGTCATGCATACAAGTTCTTTGGCTACTCCATTTCCTATGCTGTACTTTACATCCCCATGGCTATTCTGTGACTACCTATTAGTACTTCTAAATCCCCCCACCTCGTCACCCATTTCCCCCCACCCCCTACCATCGGGCAACCATCAAAATGCTCTCTATATTCATAACTCTGTCTCTGTTCTTCTTGTTTCCTTAGTTTTTTAGATTTAATTTGTATTGATAATTTGTTGATAAATTTGTATTGTTTGCCATTTTATTATTCATAGTTTCTATCTTTTTTATTACATAAGCCCCTTTAACATTTCATATAATAATAGCTTGGCGATGATGAATTCCTTTAGTTGCTTTTTGTCTTTGAAGCTCTTTATTTGCCCTTCAATTCTAAATGATAGCTTTGCTGAGTAAAGCAGTCTTGGCTGTAGGTCCCTGCTTTTCATGCCTTTGAATATTTCTTGCCAATCCCCTCTAGCCTGCAAAGTTTCTTTTCAGAAATAAGCTCACAGTCTTAGGCGAACTCCTCTGTAGGTGACTAACAGCTTTTCTCTTGCTGCTTTTAAGAATCTCTCTTTATCTTTAACCTTTGGCATTTTACTTATGATATGTCTTGGAATGGGCTCTTTGAATCCATCTTATTTGGGACACTGTGGTTCCTGGACTTGCATGTCTATTTCCTTAACCAAAGTAGGGAAGTTTTCTTTCATTATTTTTTTAAATGGATTTCCAATTTCTTGTTCTTTCTCCTCTCCTTCTTGTACCCCTATGGTGTGAGTGTTGGACTTCTTGAAGTTGTCCCAAAGGCTGCTTATATACTATCCTCACTTTTTTGGATTCTTTTTTATTCTTGTTGCTTTGACTGGTTTAGTTTTTTTGTTTGTTTGTTTGTTTGTTTGCTTGTTTTTTTTGCTGGGTTTTGTTTTGGGTTTGTTTTTTTTTTTTTTGCTTCCTTATGTTCCAAATCATTGATTTGATTCTTGGTTTCATCCACTCTAATGTTGATTCCCTGTAAATTTTTCTTTATTTCAATTAGTGTATCCTTCATTACTGACTGGACCTCAACACAGGGAGACTGTGGAGGTCCTCACTAAGTTCCTTGAGCATCCTTATAACCAGTGTTTTGAGTTCTTCATCTGATAGATTGCTTATCTCCCTTTCATTCAGCTTTTTTTATGGAGTTTTGATCTATTCTTTCATTTGGGCCATGTTTCTTTAACTCCTCATTTTGGCAGCCTCCCTGTGTTTATTTCTATGTATAAGGTAGAGCTGTTCTGATTCCCTGTCTTAGCAGTGAGGCCTAATGTAGTAGATGTCCTATAGGGTCCAGTGGCACAGCCTCCCCTATCACTCAAGCTGGGTACTTGTAGTGCACCCTTTGTGTGCTGAGTACACCCTCCTCTTGTAGTTGAGCCTTGATTGCTGTTGGCAGGTTAATGGGAGGGATTTACCCAGGCTAGTCAGTTGCAAGGACTGGATATGACCACTTACCACTAACCTCTGCCCTCTGTGGAGGATCAGCTGTGCAGGGGCAGGGTGGTGGTGCTCCAACATGGTCTGTAGTTGTCCGCTGGCTGTGCAGGCCCTGGGGTTCTCAAGTGGTGAAGGCCAAAGTCAGCCCTCACCTGTGTTCTTTCCAGGGCCACCCTGCCTGAGCTATAAAGCAATCTGAGATGGCTGCTATTTGTGCTGAGCTTAGAAATTCCCAGGCAAAGCCAAGCTGTGACTCTAGGCTGACTACTGCTAGTGCTGGGTCTGGGGCTCACTGAGGCCAGCTGTTGCTTGTTTGAGAGGATTTAGGAAGTTGTGAGGCATGAGCCAAGACCAGCCATTCATATAAAAAAGCAGCCAGGTGGGTCCCTATGTCAGATGAGGTGGAGTCTCTGGGGATCTCCAAGGCCAAACAGTATTAGCCAGGTTGATGGAGTTTTAGATATGGCATAAGCTTGCTGACTCAGACTGGATGGATATGGTTTCTTTATTCCACAGTTGTCAGACTTCCATTCAACTTGATTTCTGACAATTCTGAGTGATGGTTGTTCTATATCTTAGTTGTAATTTTGATATGGTTGTGCAAAGAGGTGAGCAATATCTGCCTATGCCATCATCTTGACTGAAAGTCCCATACTTTTTAAAAATAAGTACAGAGAGTACAGCATAGTAAGTATATAAACTAGTTACACAGTCATTTATTATCATCACTTTTTATGTACTAAACATAATTATATGTGCTGTACTTTTATATGACTGGAAGTACAGTAGGTTTGTTTATACCAGCACCACCACAAACACATGTATAGTCTTGTGCTGTGTCCTTACAGGGCTATGATGTCTTTAGGGGATAGAAATTTTTCAGGTCTATTATAATTTTATGGGACCACTGTTGGTCCCATAAATGATAATAGTCTATACTGTGTTTTCTGTCCATATCCTTTTTTTAAAAGATACTTTATCTATTTATTTTTAGAAAGAGGGGAAGGGAGGAAGAAAGAGAGGGAGAGAAATATTAATGTGTGGTTGCCTCTCACATGCTCCCCACCAGGGAATTGGCCCACAAATCAGGCATGTGCCCTGACTGGGAACTGAACCAGTGACCCTTTGCTTCACAGGCCAGCGCTCAATCTATTGAGCCACACCAGCCAGGGCTGTCCACATCCTTTCATCAAGCTTAATAAACTTAATGCTAGATTAAAGCATGTTATGTCTCCTTAATTTGGCAGTCTAAACTTCCCAGCACTATTTATAACCATGTACTTTGTCTTATTTTTGAAATTGTGCTAAAACTGGTCATTTTAGCCATGCTGGATAGCTGAGTTAGTTAGAGCATCATCCCAATGAGCCCAAATTGGGGGTGTGGTCAGGGCACATAGAAGAACCAACCAATGAATGCATAAATAAGTGGAACAGTAAATCAATGTTCTTCTCTCTTGTACTTCTCTGTCCCCCTTTTTTTCTCTCTCTAAAATCAATGATTTTTAAAAATTGGACATTTTAACCATTTTAAGTATATGATTCAATGGCATTAAATACACAAAAACTGTCATACAACTATTACCACCATCCTCTCCAGAACTTTGTCACCATCCCAGACTGAAACTCTGTGCCCATTAAGTGATTGTGTGATTTTATGATTAGAAAATAAAATAGCTTGCTTTTTTAACTCAAGGACATTTAGAAAATAAAAACTTATCAAAATCACTTTTTGCTATATTTTAGTCTCTGCCCTAATTCTGTACCTTTTTAGTCTCGTCCTAATTCTTATACATTTCTGTAGGGTTGTTATCCTATACACACTACATTGCACTTGAGCTTTTGTAAATTTAATGCTCCAGTCTAGAATATGCAAAAGTGACTTTTAGGTTGTGTAACTTTTATTAATATGTAACTTGGCTAAAGCATAACAGAGAATCATTTATGCTGTTAGGGCTAACGTATGCCCATCAGACACTTCATTTGAAGTAAACTTAGTTAACATCTAATCATGTGCATCAGCTTCACACTTTTTCTTTTTTCATCAAGTCACCTGATGAACAAACTTCTAAGTGCTGTTCTAAGCATTCAACATGTACTAACTCATTTACTCTTCATAACAGTCCTCTGAGATGGGCTCTATTATTAGTCCCATTTTAAAAACTTGCAAACTGAGCTTTTAAATTTTTTAATAACTTTTCAATATCACACCACTAATAAATAGTGAAGCCAGGATTCACACCTGGGCAACCTGGTTCCAAAGTCCATGCTCATAATCACTTGCTAAATTACCCTCTAAGTCCAACACATATGAGTTCTTTTAAAGTTACATTTTCTTTGTGAAAAATGCTTTCCAAATAAAGCTACACACAATATAAGTCTGAATTCAAGGATTTTCATAAGGTTAGAGTTATTTCTCTTACAAAATGCAAAGATCAACTATATATTTTTTCTGTGACCTTTATTCCTATGACTAATTATTAATGCATTAAGAACCTGTATGAGTACTTTACCTCTGAACAACTTCTCGATGGATATTTTTCCAATGGTCCTTCTCTGAATCAGTTCCTAATTTGGGGTCTAGAGTCTTCAGAGCAACGCCAGCAACATTCACCCCACTCCATAAGGGCACTGAAAGAAATATATCTCAGAATAAATTCTTCCTCCTAGTAGAGCAACAGTTGTTTGAGTTTAGAAATTTTTTATTATATTTTATTGTTTATGCAATTACAGTTGTCCCAGATTTTCCTCCTTTACATCCCTCTATTGAGCCCCGCCCCACAACTCCCTGAGGCAGTCCCCACACTGTTGTCCGGGTCCATGGATCATGCATATATGTTTTTTGGTTACTTTACTCCCTATGCTGTACTTTGATCCCCATGACTATTCTATAAGAACCAATGCGTTCCTAATCCCTTCACCTTTTCCACCTATACCCCTGACCCCCTCCTATCCAGCAACCATCAAAATATTCTCTGCTTCTATGAATCTGTTCTGTTCTGCTTGTTTCGTTTTTTAGAACCAACTGTTGATATGTATTTGTTGCCCTTTTACTGTTTATATTTTTATCTTAAAGAATATCCTTTAACATTCATGGGTTTAGTGGTGATTAACTCCTTTAGATTTTTCTTGTCTGAGAAGCTCTTTATCTGTCCTTCAATTCTAAATGATACCTTTGCTAGGTTGAAAAATCTTGGTTGTAGTTTCTTGCTCTCAATAAGTTTGAATAATTCTTGCTACTCCTTTCTAGCCTGCAAAGTTTCTTTTGAGAAATCAGCTTCCAGTCTTATGGGGGCTTCCTTGTAGATAACTAACTGCTTTTCCCTTGCTGCTTTTAAGACTGTCTTTAACCTTTGGCATTTTAATTATGATTCCCCTGGCTGGTGTGGCTCAGTGTGCCAGCCAGCGTAACAAAGGTCGCCAGTTTGATTCCCGGTCAGGGTACATTCCTGGGTTGTGGGCCAGGTCCTGAGTTTAGGGTGTGTGAGAGGCAACTGATTGATATTTTTTTTCATACAGAGGGAGTGTTTCTCTCCCTCCCTCTGTTCCTCCCTTCTTCTCTCTGAAAATATGTGGGAGGAACACCATCCCACAGAGCTTCTCCCGGCCACCGAGGATGAGAAGTAAGTGGTCCTGGGAAACAATCTTGTTCTGGCAAAAAAGGGGGCGGTGATTCCCTTCAGCTGGGAACACCCTGGACCCTCCTCCCAAATGGCTTTCATTGGGAATGGTATATGAAGGTGTATACAGCATACATGCATAGTTCATCAACCAATGTCAAAAAGGCTATAGTCATGCAAAAACAGGTATTACCTAGAAATAACAATTGAAGGAACACAGAGATCTCTCAGAGGTCGGGGTCTGTTTGTCATGCTGATGCCAGAGGGTCTTTAACGCGTGTTTCATGAGATAAGGAGTTTAGTCCTTATGACTTGAACTTAAACATCCGGTTTATATCACCAGGGTTATACAAAATGAAGCAGAGCAAACTTCAAAGGATACAATGTATTTATCAGGCCTGATTCCCATGGGAACCCTCCATGTTAGAGTTGGATTGTATCTGCCACCTGCATTACCTGGTTTTCCAGGGAGACTTATTAACCCCTTTCAGGGCTTTCTCTCATGGGGCTACAGTCCCCAAACCACACAGAACAGTCCCCAACAATAAATAAACAAACAAATAAATAAATTTTAATTATGATGTGTCTTGATGAACACTTTAGGTTCATCTTGTTTGGGATTTTTCTGTGATCCTGGATTTGTACATCTATTTCTTTCACCAAGTTATGGAAGTTTTTTGTCATCATTTTTCCAAAGTTCCCCATTTCTTATTTTCTCTCTTCTTCTGGCACCCAAGTGATATGAATAATATAGTATGTTGTCCCATAGGCTCCTTACATAAGCTCTACTTTTTAGATTCTGTTTTTCTTCTTATTGTTCTGATTGGTTGTGTTTTACTTTCTTATATTCCAAATCACTGATTTGATTCTCAGCTTTATCTTCTTGATTCCCTGTAATTGTTCTTTAATTCAATTAGTGTATCCTTCATTTTTTTATTGTATTTTTGATGCTGTTGAGGTCCTCACTAATATCTTTATAACCTCTGTTTTGAATGCTACATCTAGTAGATAACTTGTCTCTATTTAATTTAGTTATTTTTTTTTTATTTTTGTGTTCTTTCATTTAGAACATGTTTCTTTGTCTCTCATTTTGGCAGCCCCCCGGTTTGTTTCTATGTGTTAGGTAAAGTTGCTACATCTCCCAGGCTTGGGAGAGTAGCCTAATGTAGTAGGTGTCCTGTAGGGTCCAATGGCACAGCCTCCCTATTACCTAAGCTGCATGTTCATGGTGTGCCAACCACATAGTTGTGTACACCTTCCTGATGTAGTAGAGCCTTGACTTCTGTTGGTGTGCCCTAGGTGAGCCACCAACTGTGTTCTGTTCCAGATCTCACAGCATAAGCTACAAAGTGATCTGGAGATGGCTACCACTTGTGCTGAGCTTGGCATGCCCAGACAAGGCCAAGCTGTGAACCAAGGCCAGCTGCTGCTAGTGCCAGGCCTCGGGCAACTTAGCAAGAAGTACAGGGCACATTAGGACAGATGCTACTTATATGAGAGAATTTAGGGAAATCTGAAGCATGGGCCAAGACAAGCCATCTGTATGGAAAAGCCACTGGAAATAGCTTGGGTGGGCCCTAAAGCTGGGTGAGGCAGGTCTCAGGGAATCACCATGGTAGGGAAAACAGTAATAGCCAGCCTGATGGAATCTCATATATGGTGCCTGTTTGCCAGCTCTGTGGTTCTGTTGGGGGAATGCTCAGAAAAGGAAAAATGGCCTCTGCCAGCATGTATGTCTGGGAAAGAACTGCCCCCCAGCTCTCGCCCTGATGCCAGACAATTCATTTCCTCCCCATATGTCTCCAGTGCCTTTCTTTTTTTTTTTTTTTTAAAGATTTTATTTATTTATCTTTAGAGGGGAAGGGAAGGAGAGAGGGAGAGAAAAGTGGTTGGGAACTTTTGGGCAGAGGTGCCTTTCTATCTGCTGCATCTTGCAGGAACTCAGAAAAAATAAGCCTAAGTAAGTGTGTGCATGGGCCCTTTAAAAGGAAGTGCTTGAGACTCCAACAGTTCATGCCTTTCACAGCCTTGATTCTTGCTGTTTTTTTACAGCCAGAAGTTATGCTCCTGACACTGGAACCCTGAGCTATGGAACGCAGTGTGGGGTAGGACCCCTCTCTCCTAAGATATCATTCCTGATTTTTATCTGCCACAAGTGGGTGTTCCATGTCTCCGCCCCACCTACATGTCTCAATGTGCTTGCTTCTTTAATTCTGTAGTTGGTTTCTTCTTTAACTCTGTAGTTGTAGGACTTCCATCCATCCCTATTTCCGATGGTTCTGGATGATGGTTGTTCTATGGTTTAGTTGCAATTTTGATGTGGTTGTGTGAGGAAGTGAGCCATGTTTACCTATGCTGCCATCTTGACCGGAAGTCTAAATTCAATTCCAGTAACTTTTAAAAGAATTTATTGATTTATTTTTAGAGTCTGGAGAGAAGAGGGAGAAAGAGACGGAGAGAAACGTTGGTGAGTGAAAGAAACATCTATCAGTTGCCTCTCACACGCCCCCAAATGGGGACCTGGCCCACAACGTAAGTATGTGCCCTGATAAGGAATTGAACCAGCAACTCTCAGTCCACAGGCTGGTGCTCAATCCACTGAACCACACCAGCCAGGGTCAATTTCACTAAGTCTTTAATGAACTGAGATTACTACCTTATACCATTTATAAAAATACATTTCAAATGGACAAAAAAGGGAAATTAAAAATAAAATAATGTGTTAGAGAAATATATAGTAGAGTTTAATTATAATTATGTGATATAGGAAGCATTTTAAAGCAGGGTACAATTATAGAATCCACAAAGAAAAGAATGATTAAAAAGATATAACATTACAAGCAAAGAGGGAGAAGAACAACAAATTAACACCATACTTCTCAACAGAAACAAAGAGCTGGGGGGAATAACTGTCAACCTAGAACCTCATATCCGATTAAACTGTCATTCAGAAATGAGGTGTAGAGGAACAAATAGGAAGGACACAGGGACGAGAACTAACGGGGGTGGAAATGGGAGGGAGGTGGGAGCACGGGGCGGGGGAGGCTGGGATGGGAGAAATAGACAAAAAACTGTACTTGAAAAATAACTAAATAAAATTTTAAAAATTTTAAAAAAGAAATGAGGTGAAGTCCCTGGCCAGGTAGCTCAATTAATTAGAGCACTGTCCCAATACTCCAAGATTTCGGTTCAACCCCTATTCAGGACACATACAAAAATCAACCAATGAATGTACAAATAAAGTGGAACAACAAATCAATATTTTTCTCTTTCTCTCTAATTCTCTCTCCCTCTCTTCCTCCCTCCCTCTAAAATCAATAAATAAAAATTAAAAAAATAGAATGAAGTGAAGCTAAAACACTTTCATATAAACAACATTGACAGGATATACTTCAGAAAGAAGAAAAGGAGGCGTTAGATGCAAAAAATAAAGACAAGTAATAAAATTGGCAAATATATTAATAAATTAAAATAGCAGTATTGCCCTGGCTGGTGTTTCTCAGTGGGTTGGGGGGCAGCCTGTGGACTGAAATGTTGCTGGTTCGATTCCTGGTCAAGACACATGCCTAGGTTGTGGGTCAGGTCCCCAGTTGGGGGCATGTGAGAGGCAACTGATCAATGTTTCTCTTCCTCTCCTTCTCCCTCCCTTCCCCTCTCTCTAAAAAATAAATAAAATCTTTAAAAAATAGTAGTATTATCTACTCAATAATGATTATAAAAACAAGATGAACTAGAAAAGTGGTTAATAATTGCGTGTACGACAGAAAGCGGGTGATCAAACTTAAAGCATTCCAAGGTCTTTGTATTGTTCCAAAGAACAATAAAGGCACTAATTATTTTGAGGTCAAATATGATTACTAAAAATTTATAGTTACCACTTACAAAGTGAGTGTATAATGCAAAGTAATAGAGGAAACTGAAGAAAGTTTAATCAATTCAACAGAAAGCAGGGACTTCTGGCCAAGATGGAGGCACAGGTGGAAACATTGTGCCTCCTCACACAACCAAAATTAAGGACAACAAAGACTTAGAAACAAAACGCAACCAGAACAGACAGAAAATTGAACTGTACGGAAGTCTGACAACCATTTAACCAGACTGGTAAGAGGGGCGGAGAGGGATCAAGGCAGGAAAAGGCAGTGGCAGCCAGACCTGGGAGCGCAGGCAGTGTGGGGCTGACCACAGTCACACATTCGTGTGCAAATAAACTGGGCAAAAATGGGCAGCAAGACAGAGCGCACAACCCAGGGCCCCAGTGAGGGGAAATAAAGCCTAAAAGCACCGACCGAAAAGGTGCCAGCTTGTGGGAAGCAGCAGAAGGGACTGAAATCTGAGAGAGAGTAGAACAAGCACCATTGTTTCTTCTCTGACCCCACCCCCACATAAGCATCACAACCCAATGACTGGGTTGCCCTAAGTGACAGGTGAACATCTAAGGCTCTGCCACTCATATGTAGCAGGCACAACCTGACCAAAAATGGCTCAATCAGAAGAACAAATTAAAGCCCTAGAGCCAATACTTCTAAGTAACCAAGTGATAGCCAACCTATCAGATGCAAGTTCAAAACACTGGTGATTAGAATGTTCAAAGAACTGGTTGATTTGGGTCACAAATTAGATGAGAAAATGAAGGCTACTCTAAGTGAAATGAATCAAAGTGCGCAGGGAACCTATAGTGATAGAAAGGAAACTGGGACTCAAATCAATGGAGTGGACCAGAAGGAAGAAAAAAACGACCAAACAGAAAAGAATGAAGACACAAGAATTCAAAAAACCGAGGAGAGGCTTAGGAACCTCCAGGACATCTTTAAATATTCCAACATCCGAATTATAGGGGTACCAAAGGGGAAGAGGAAGAGCAACAAGTGGAAAACTTATTTGAACAAATAGTAAAGGGGAACTTCCCCAATCTGGCAAAGGAAATAGACTTCCAGGAAGTCCAGGAAGCTCAGAGAGTCCCAAAGAAGTTGGACCCAAGGAGGAACACACCAAGGCACATCATAATTACATTACCCAAGATTAAAATTAAGGAGAGAATCTTAGAAGCAGCAAGAGAAAAGGAGAGAGTTACCTACAAAGGAGTGCCCATAAGACTGTCAGCTGATTCTTCAAAAGAGACCTTACAGGCAAGAAGGGGCTGGAAAGAAGTATTCCAAGTCATGAAATCTAAAGACCTACATCCAAGATTGATCTATCCAGCAAAGCTTTCATTTAGAATGGAAGGGCAGCTAAAGTGCTTCTCAGAGAAGGTAAAATTCAAGGAGTTCATCATCACCAAGCCCTTACTATATGAAATGTTAAAGGGACTTATCTAAGAAAAAGAAGATAAAAAATATGAACAGTAAAATGACAGCAAATTCACAGTTATAAACAACCGCACCTAAAAGAAGAGCAAACTAAGCGACAGCTAGATCGGGAAACCACATGGAGGGTTAGCAACAGGGGATTGGGAGGAGGAGAAGCAAGGAGAAGGTACAGAGAATAAGTAGCATAGACGGTGGGGAGAAAATAGACAGGGGGAGGGCAAGAGTAGTGTGGGAAATGTAGAAGCTAAAGAACTTATGACACATGGACATGAACTAAATGGAAATGTGGGTGGGAGGGGATGTGCAGGGTGGAGGGGAATGAAGGGGGGGAATGGGACAACTGTAATGGCATAATCAATAAAATATATTAAAAAAAACAAAAATAGAGAAAAGAAACAAAAGAAATCTCACTGAATAGAATACTTATATATTCAAATTAGTAGCAATCAGAATACACTACTTTGTTTTCAAATAAAAATTTAATAGAACATTAAATGTAAGAAATTAAACATATCTAGAAAATGTATCTTTAATGACTTTCAGGAGAAAGAGCTGAGTTAAGACAATAACACAAGCTGACAGGTCAAATTAAGTATTTGTCTAAGTCAATGAAGAAGTATTTATTATACTATGATCCCTGTGGTAAAAAAAATACACAACAAGAAGGACTCATTAAATGCTTTAAATAAACAGATGAATGACCGAATTACAGGCCCCTGTTTTCAGTGGGTTTATTGCCACCGTAGAAAGATTTACACATATGACACAGAAAACACAGTAAGAAGTATAGAGTTCTAATTGTGCTGGGTAGCTTCAGTGTTTGAGTTCAAAGAAGAAAAAGGTCGGTGTGGCCTAAGTAACGGTTTAAATGATATATTATATAACTTTATTTATATGAAAAGCATGAAACAAACAAATCTACAGAGTCAAAAGTAAATTAGTGCTTGCTTGGAGCTTGGGTGGGGGTGAGTTCCATCACCCCAGGAGTAGAAGTCTCTGAGGTGATGAAAATGCTCTATAATTAGATTGTGGTGATAACTGCACAAGTCTGTGAAAATACTAAAAACCAGTGAACATACAATTTAAATAGGTGAATTTTATAGCATATGATTCATACCTTAATAATATTCTTTTAAAAAATAACAACAGGCCTGGGCTGGGTAGTTCAGTTGGTTAGAGCATCATCCCAATATGCCAAGGTGTGGGTTCAATCCCTGGTGAGGGTACATACAAGAAGCAACCAATAAATGTATGAATAAGTGGAATGACAAATTAATGTTTCTTTCTCTCTTCCTTTCCCTCTCTCTCTAAGATCAATCGATAAAAAAATTTAAAAAAAAAACAATAAATGAAAGTGCTCTGGAGAAACATTCATAAGAGAAACATTCACTGACTTTAATTTTTTTATTATTTTTTTATCCTCCCCTGAGGACATTTATTCTTTCATTACTTTTAGAGAGAGAAGGGAGAGAGGGAAATAACAATGTGAGAGAGAAGCATGGATTGACTGCCTCCTGTAGGCACCCAGGACGGGGATCATAGGTGCCCAGACCCGGGACTGTAGGTGTCCAGACCAGGGATAGTGTGGGCCCACACTTGGACCAAGGATCAAACCCACAACCTAGGGATGTGCCCTGACTGGAAATTGAACCCACAACCTTTTGGTTATTGGATGATGCTCCAACCAACTGAGACCCACTGGCTAGGGCAGAAAAACACTCACTAACTTTTAAAATATCTATATGTTCCATGTACAACTTTATGAGTGGTAATTAAATCAGTGATGGAAAAGACTAAAAATAATGGAATAAACAAAGATACATATAGCAGGAAAATACCAATAAAACAAAAGTGACACAGCTATATTAGTATCAGAAAAAATAGGCTTTAAAGGAAATAAGCATCATTACAGATAAGAAGTATAACTACATAGTACAAATAGATTTATACTTACCACTAGAATCACCATGCTCCCCAATAATCCAACCATGGCAGCTAGAGGGATGGACACCCAACTTGTTCCCAATCAGGTAGCGGAAACGGGCAGAGTCTAGATTACAGCCACTTCCGATGACACGAGTGACAGGCAAGCCGCTTAGTTTCCAGACCACGTATGTCAAAATATCCACTAGGAGAACAATGTCTTATTAGAAAACAATTTACAATAACTTCCTTTTATATTTGTTTTTCTGAATAGATCAATTGTCTTGGACTCAAATACAGATTTATTACTGAGTTTGAGGTGAAGTAAATCAACAAATAAGTATTCATAATCTCTCACATAGGTTTTAGAAGTTTAAATTATTAACTATAATTTTAAAATTCTCTTTTGAGATAATATATGTGCCTATATGCACATTTAATAACCAGTCAGTTAATTCTACCTCATTAAGATTGCCTAAATTTTTCCTATCACCACAGCCTCATCTAAGCTACCAGCATCTCCTCCCTAGAATAAGACCACACGCATAGCCAGAGCAGTGTGCAGCTGTGTGCAAGCTCAGGAAAAACATGACAAGATCCTAAGCTTAAGCTCTGCCTGACTTTGAGGCTCTGTGCAAGCAGGAAGAGAAGGGCACATTTGTAAATTGGCTAGCCAAGTGTTGAAGGCATGCTGCAACATACACACGGAGCCCTCCAGCAAAGACTGGGAGATACTTATGGTTCCAAATTTAAAGAGAGTTGTGGCTAGGACTTCCAGTCAAGATGGTGATGTAGGCAGAGATGGCTCGCCACTTTGCACAACCACATCAAAATTACAACTAAAATATAGAACAACCATCACTCAGAACCATGAGAAATAGAGTTGAATGTACGTCTGACAACTATGGAATTAAAGAAACCACATTTATCCAGACTAGTAGGAGGACTGCAGACATGGGCTGGTGCCACACCCACATGAGGTGGATAAAAAATTGGGAAGGATATCTCAGGAGTGAGGAGTCCCAGTCCCACACCAGGTCTCCCAGCCCAGGGTTCCAGTGCCCCAAAGATAAGAATGTACAACTTCTGGCTGCAAAAACCAAAAGGGATTGAGTTGGGAGAAGAAACTTCTGGAGCCCCAAGCAATTCCTCTTAAAGAACCCACACATGGACTCACCTACTCAGACTCACTCCTCTGAGCTGCAGCACTGGGGTGGCAACTTGAAAGGCACCAATGGCATACAGTGAGGAACTTTAGTGTCTGGCATCAAGGCTAGCAGAGGCCATTGTCTTGTTACTGAACCCTCCCCCAACAGAGCCACAGAGACAACTAGCTGGTGCCATATTTGAGACTGCATCAACCTGGCTAACACTGTTTGACATGCTTGGAGATCCCCAGAGACTCCGCCCCACCCCACTTACAGGCCTACCCTAGCTGCTTTTCCACATGAATGGCTGGTCTTGGCTCATGCTTCTAAAGTTCCTCTCTAACAAGCAACAACTGGCCTCAGTGAGCCTCCGGCCCGGCACTAGCAGCAGCCAGCCTAAAGTCACAGCTTGGCTTTGCCTAGGAATCTCTAAGCTCAATACAAATAACGGTCATCTCAAATTGCTTTATAACTCAGGCAGGGTAGCCCCAGGCAAAACACAGGAGGAGCTGACCTTGGGCTGGATCACCCAGGAAACTCCAGAGCCATTGCCCCAGTGGACACCTACAGGCCACATCGGAGCACTACCACCCTGCTCCTGCACAGCTGATCCTCCACAGAGGGCAGAGGTTGGTGGTCAGTGGTTACATCCAGTCTTTGCAGCTGACTGGCCTGGGTAAAACCCTCCCATTAACCTGCCAACAGCAATCAAGGCGCAACTACAAGAGGAGGGTGTACTCAGCCCACTCAAAGGGTACATCTCAAGTACCCAGCTTGAGTGATAGGGGAGGCTGTGCTACCAGACCCTACAGGACACCTACTACATTAGGTCGCACTACTCAGACAGGGAGTCAGGGCAGCTCTACCTTACACATAGAAACAAACACAGGTAGGCTGTCAAAACAAGGGGACGAAAAAACATGGCCCAAATGGAAGAATAGATCAAAATTCCAGAAAAAGCTAAATGAAAGAGAGATAAACAATCTATCAGATACAGAACTCAAAACACTGGTTATAAGTATGCTCAGGGTACTTTGTGAGGACCTCAGCAGCATAAAAAAGATCCACTCAAAAATGAAGGGTATACTAATGGAAATAAAGAACAATTTAGAGAGAATCAACATTAAAGTGGATGAAACCAAGAATCAAATCAATGATTTGGAACGCATGGTAGAAAAAAAAAACAATTGGAACAAGAAAAAAAAAAGAATCCCAAAACAGGAGGATGGTATAAGTAGCCTCTGGGACAACTTCAAGAGATTCAACAGTTACATCATCGGGGTGCCAGAGGGGAAGAGGAAGAGCAAGAAATTGGAAATCTATTTGAAAAAATAATGAAAGAAAACTTCCCTAATTTGGTGAAGGAAATAGACATGCAAGTCCAGGAAGCACAGAGAGTCCCAAATAAGATCGATGCAAAGAGGCCCACTCCAAGACACATAATTAAAATGAGAAAGGTTAAATGTGGCAGACCCTGTCCAGCAGAGTCACCTACTGTGGCTTTCAATAAGAATCAATGCCCAGGCGACAACAATCCTGTTTGGAAAAAGGGAAGAGCACAGCAGCTCTCTCAAGGGGAGAGTGCCTATGGTGCCTCGGCCACTCCCTCAAGAGGGGAGCACCCCGACCCTTGCCTAGACAGGCTTTTACTATTTTCCTGGGGTCTTACATCAGAGAAAGATTTATTATCTATCACATAGAATATTACTGTCTACATTCTAGGTACAATCAAGGAAATAAAAATAACATGCAGAGGGGGATGGCAATGAGCCGATTAGCTCTGTCCTTGGGAGAGCTCACACAGGCTTTGGAAATTACCTTGAAGATAGACAATACACATTTCTTGCTTTAGACCAGGGTAAGGAAGTTTTAGCAAGAGTAAGCCATAACAACCTGTAAGCATTTTCTAGGCCTGATTCCCACGGGAAAACTTGGTTTCCATATACAGTGAAATATCTGGCTACATGAAAGAAGGCAGTTCTGCTATTTGTGACAACATGGATGGACCTTGAAGGCATTATGCTAAGTAAAATAAGTCTGACAGAGAGAGACAAACATTGTATGATGTCATTTGTGTGTGAGATCTGAAGAAAAAAGAAAACACCACTAACTCATAGAAACAGAGTACAATGGTGGTTGCCAGGGGAAGGGGAGACGTCAGCCAAAGAACAAACTTACACTTCCAGATATAAGAGGAATAAGTTCTGGGGATCTAATACACGGCACTGGTGCCTATAGTTAACAAAAGTGTATTATATATTTGAACACTGCTAAGATGGTAAATCTTAAATGTTCTCACCATGCTAAAGAAATGTTAATTACAGTCAGCGTTCCATATCTATGGAGTTCACATCTGCGTATTCAACCAACCAAATGCAGACCAAAAATATGTGAAAAAAAATTCCAGGAAGTTCTGAAAAGCAAAACTAGAATTTGCCAAACACTGAGCACTATGCTGATTCCATGCAAATGAAATAACATGTAGGCATACCCTGCTGTAGTCTATATGCAAATATAGGTTATATGCAACTACTACTCCATTTTATAAATGAGACTTGAGCATCCAAAAATTCTGGTATCTAGTGGGGTACCAAATGCCCTAAGACTACCAAGGATGACTGTATGTGAGGTGATGGAGGTAATAACTAACTGTACTGTGGTAATCATTTCCCAAAATGTAAATGTATCAAATCCTCATAACACTGTACACCTTAAACTTCCATGTATGTGGCACTTATATTTCAAATAGTTAGAAAAAAATGTATTGTAGCCCTGGCTGGTGTAGCTCTGGACTGAGTGCAGGGCTGCAAACCAGAAGATCGCGGTTCAACTCCCAGTCAGGTCACAGGCCTGGGTTGCAGGCCAGTTCCTAGCAGGGGATGCATGAGAGGCAACTATACATTGATATTTCTCTCCCTCTCTCCTTCCCTTCCCCCCTCTAAAGATAAATCAATAAAATCTTTTTAAAAATACTTAACATATGCGTAAATCTTCAGTTTAAAAAAATGTGTTGTTTACTTTGAATGGGTGTAGTTTATTACACAAATTTTACCTCAATAAATTTGTTTAAAAAAAAAAGAAGAAAGAATATGGAAAGACCATCCTTATGCAGTTAAAGAGAAAAGACTCACCTGGATTTGAGACAATAAGCATCTTACAGTCAGGACTGTAACGGACTAGGGTAGGAATGACTGATTTCATGATATTCACATTACGTTGAACCAGGGAAAGACGACTTTCTCCCTCCTGCTGCCGCACACCTGCTGTGATAATAATTATTTTGGAGTTTGCAGATACACTGTAATCTAAAAGGGAAACAAAAGACAATATTTGGATCAAGACTGCCATAATCACTGTGCCTTAATTCTTTAAAAGTGTATTGTATGACCTTAGTGTGAAAGTACTCATACACCGCCTCATGTCTGACATCTGGAAAGGAACAGACTTTCCATGTAGTAATGTTATTTTGAATAACCTAAAGGAAGTTTCATCACTATGACTTACAGTTTCATATGACCTTAAAAAAATAACCACACAATCTACTATCCCTTTAAACCCACACTGTCACTTGTTATTAAGGCCCAAGGCAATGCAAGTCATCTCTCTGGCTTTGGACAAACACCATATGTATCAGAAGCTTAGAGAACTCTGAAAATTATGTAACTCTTTCACGATTCTAAGAGTAAGAATGCATTTAGTTTTAAATAAAAGACTGGACTTGAGATCACAAGCAAGTTCTTGATTCGCATACAAAAAAATAGCCTTCTAAATCCAATGACCAGCTGGAAAATTGTTTTACCTACTAAATCCAATGACAATACATGATGCTCAATATCCTATACTGGACTTATTTTAAAGCATTATATACCTGGAAGTTATTTATCTTATGGATATCAAAAATTAAATTAGATGAAATCTTTTCTATATCCCATCTCTATTTTTTTAAATTAGTTTTTTGCTAGGCCCTGGCTGGTGTAGCTCAGTGGATTGAGCAGGGGCCTGCAAACCAAAAGATCGCGGTTTGATTCCCCGTCAGGGCACATGCCTGGGTTGCAGGCCAGTTCCCAGCAGGGGATGCACCAGAAGCAACCATACACTGATATTTCTCTCCTTCTCTTCTTCCCTTCCCTCCTAAAGATAAATAAAATTTTTTTAAAAATTAGTTTTTGCTCTTTTGAAAAGGACATTTGTTCAATTTTAAAGATACTATCACATCTTCATTTATAGTCATTCTCATTATCCTAATCCAAATTATTATAAACTGTAAACATTTTATGTTTTTCCTGGCCCAGTAAAAATTTTAACCAGAAAGACAATTTAGAAAGACAGCATTTCTTGGGCTAACATGTTTCACATTCATCCAAAAGCCTATCTCTCCCTTCCACCAAGTAAAGGATTTACAGAAGTTCTCTCTCTGCAGTCAGCTCATTCTTGCTCAAACATCTTGCTCAAGATAACCTTCCACAGATTCTTACCTAACCAGAGAAAGCCCATGGAACCTCTCAGTCTCTGCCTCTGTCTCTCTTTCCCCATCCCCGCTTTCCCTCCCTTCTCCCCAACTCAACTTTTAGAGGATATACAGACAAAAACCCTAGCAATTTCTCCCAAGTCATCTCTCCACAGTTCAGATAAATCATTTGAAATATTGTGCCTAGTAAGTCAATTAAAGTGCATATCAAAGTAAAATATCAAGTCTTCATAATCTGCCTCCAAGTCATTTTACTAACTTTGGGTCTTATTTTTACGTCAAATTTTCCAGGTGCCCTGCTTTTGTGGATGCTATCATCTCCCTACCTGTTATTTCTTTTTCTACGTATAACTGGTGACAGTTATACTACGTATAACTCAGTCCTCCAGGAGACAGTAAACCACAATGGTCTGGAGCAAAGACTGAGGTCCAACTGCCTATGTTTTGACTGTGCCACTTCCTGGCTGTATGACCCCAGAAAAGTATTTTGCCTGTTCCTCTGACTCTCAGTTCCTCATCGACAAGACAATGCTAATCATAGTTTTTCCTGTAGATGATTCGGTGAGTTTAATATACATAGTGTTCAGAACAGTGCCTTGTACACATTAAATGTTCAATAAATGTTAGCATTTATTATTATATCATTAGTAAAGTATTTCTTTAAATAACAATTCCTCTGCTAGGTATCCCCTAATCATATTATTAATAAGTACTACTCTCTTACTTCACTGAATTTTTATAGCACTTACTGCTTATAATTCTCACATAGTCCTTATATATACTGCCTTATGTTATCTTCCCATTGTTTTTTCATAGTTAACCCTTACCTTGATCCTAAGATCGATAATTAGGTTCTGATTTCACATTCTTCCCTTTCTTCCATAAATATTTTAGCACCTTCTATGTTTCAAGCACTTGAGATCTGTGTTAACTACTGTATATACATTCAAGATTGAGATATGAATAGATGTTACAGAACACATCAACTGAATTGGTAATGTTTCACTTGTATACACTGATGTTTGTTATACTTAAACTCTTTATATTTAAATTTTAATATTTTAAATAATTATTTCTATGAACATTAATTCTAATGTCTTGGACATTAAAAGCACATTGTTTTAAAATTGTCCTTTTAAGTGCAGAAAAATAAAAGTGAAGGAAAACCATAAAATTTAGTAGTTTTGTATTTAAATTGCTTCATGGCTATCTTTAAATTAATTGTAGTACTTTAAAGATATTTAAATGATCACTGTTAGTATGCTTTATAAAAGATACTGCAAAACTTCAGTCGGCTGAGTGATACACAAAGGCCTTGCCCTACAATCAGAAAATTAGCAAATGAACTTCTAAGTATGTTTACATGTTTTAGGTCAATATGAAATGTTTATAATGTCCCTCTCCAAAAGCATTTTTAAAAGATTATTTATTTATTTATTTTTAGAGAGAAGGAAAGGGAGGCAGAAAGAGAGGGACAGAAACATCTATGTACTCTGAGAGAAACATCAATTGGTTGCCTTTCTCACACCCCCAACCAGGGACCTGGCCTGCAACCCAGGCATGTGTCCTGACCAGGAATCCAACCAGCGACCTTTCAGTCAACAGGACAATGCCCAAGCCATTCAGGGCTATAACAGAATTTTTAAATTAAGTAACCACTGAAATTGAAATTCCATTTCAATGTTTTATAAGAGGGTTTCTAGTAGAAAGTATGTCTGTTGAGTCAAATTAAGTGTACTATGCACTTAAGTCCATGATAAATTAATTATTTTGCGTAGTTCTCTGAGGCCTCTTAGTTGGTCAAGACATGATGCTAATGCTAATGCTAATGCTATATCCTGTTCTCACGCTAGACCCTGAAAACTGATTCTCTATAAAGACAAATAGAAAACCAGTTCAAAAAGCATAGATAAATACATCAATAGTATTCAAACCTAGTCAAGACTACATATACTACGGAACAATCTAAGATGGAATAATCAGTTTAAAAAGCATTTATAGCCCTGGCCAGTGTGGTTTGGTTGGGTTGGGTGTCACCCCACAAACCTAAAGACTGTGGGTTCAATGCCCAGTCAGGGCAAATGCCTGGGTCGTAGGTTTGGTACCCAGTCAGGGCATGCACAGGAAGCAACCAATCAATGTTTCTCACATCAGTGTTTCTTTCCCTCTCTTTGTCCCTCCCTTCCCCTCTCTATAGAATCAACAAAAATAAATGAAATTAAATTAAAAATTAAAAGCATTAATATTTCAGTTATGTAAAAAACAAATGAATAAAGAAAATAAAACTATTAGAAAAGACTTTAAATTTTCTTTATGCATTTTTGTATTCACTAAACTTTGCCCAATGAAAATGGATGTTCTTTTTAAAAGAAAAATAAACTAATCTTTAAAACTGTAAGTCCTAATAATAATGGTACTATTTTTAATTCTATATTTACGGATATCAGTTTGGTAAAATTCATTATTTTTTAAAGCTTTGAAAATAACTTTATAAAATTAAAATTAACCTTTTCCAGAGATAATCTTTGAAGTGTGAAAGAAAAGACTGCCATGCTGAAGATCCATCATCTCTCCCTTCAATTTGTCCTCTGCGACATCAATAAGCGCAAGTTCATCAGTCAAATCCTAAAATACATGAAAGTTATGAATAAAATATTCTGGAAAATGCTCCTATTGCCATTTTAGGAGGATAAGAAAAATTTTTGTGTGGCTATTTTATAATCAAAGGAGAGTTATATTTTGTCATTTTATAGTCAAAGGAGAGCTGGGGTCTATATCACAAAACTATATAGAAGGACTGTATTCCCTCAGATGCTAGTGGCCAGATTCCAAAGTTGAGCAATAAGAAAAAGGGATCCAAGTCCCTATGTACTAATGTTTTTATTCTCATATCAGGTACAATCTGGTCTTATTGGGAAACTATAAATTCTAAAATTTACTAAATTATGTGTCATATGTCAGGAATAGGAAAAGGATAAAGAGTTTTATCCAGAATGATCACATATGACTTTTGGCTAACTGATTAAAAAAAAAAAAAGATCATGTTTACAAATCCATTTTTACATCAGTCTGTGTATCTATCTGGGTCTGAAACAGGAAAATAGAAACTACTCTAAGCATTTCAACAGAAGATTAATATTAATCTCTATATTAATTCTCTATTAATGTAGAGAATATTTTAGACAGATGTTGGAGGGATAGAAGAACAAAAAGATATCACTTGTGGTAACTCAGAGTACCCGCAGCTTGAAACTACAACCCCTAAGGCTTAAGAAACAGACACTAAAAAAGGAGCTGCAAGGATCTAGTCTCAGAACTTTGGTGAATACTAGTCCCAAAATCCGGTTGTTGTTGCTGCTGCTGCTGCCACAAATGGGGCAAGATGAGGACAATGCTGGATTTCCCAAGGAAACTGGAGGCTAGAACCCACTTCTGCCATTGGGCCGAAGGGGCTGAAGTTGAGATGACTATGACCAGAACAAAAAGCCAACAGAAAAAAGAAAGTCACTGCTCCCTGCTAGCCTTCCAACTTCCCTCCAGTGCCCCTATTGGCAGGATCCACAAGATATCAACTGACAAAGGAGAAAAAGATTAAGCAGAGATCCAGCATCAGCATCACAAGGCAGAGTTTAGAAAGTTGGATTTGGGGACAAGTGACAATAGTTTAGTGACCAACACAGCCTGCTTTTAACTTATATTTGCACCCTGATTTACCTCTCTTCTTAGCATGTAACCAGGCAATTATCTTACTAAGAAAATCTTCCTAGCTACATTTGCCTTGACTGTCAAAGACAACTCAATCCCCACAAGTTTTTGTTTGTTTTTAAAGAATTTGTTTGTAGTTAAAGAATTTAACTACATTCATGAGAGTCATTTCTCAAACAGAATTCTAAATAAAGACCCTGGGCGTGTTTTGCCAGAATCTTCTACAAATAGCTATGACCTTGGACAGGTAGCTCAGTTGGTTAGAGCATCGTCCCAATACACCAAGGTTGGTGGTTTATCCTGGACAGGCCACATACAAGAAGCAACCAGCGGCCCTGGCCAAATGGCTTAGTTGTTTGGAGCACTGTCCTATACATCAAAACGTTGTGAGTTCAATTCCAATTCAGGGCAGAAACTAGGTTTTGGGTTCAATACCGGGTCAGGGAGCATACAGGAGGCAACCCATCAATGTTTATCCCCACATTGATGTTTTTTTTTCTCTCTCTTTCTTCTCTCTAAAATCAATCATATATCCATGGGTGAATGTTAAAAAAAGAAATGAAGCAACCAATGAGTGCATGGGTAGGTAGAACAACAAATCAATGTTTTCCTTTCTCTATCTTTCCCCACCTCCACTCCACCATCCTCTCTTTTTTACTCCCTTCCTCTCTTTCTTTATAAAACCAATCAATCAAAAAGACAAAACAAAAAACAGTTATGAGCATCCCAGGAACTTTTCTGCAGAGAGTCCCAAATAGACCATAGTTAGGTAGAGAACAAGAGACTAAAAATCAATCTGAGGAAAACAGCTATGGCTGCTCTGCTCTGTATAGGACAAGGAAGGACTGCATGGCTACCCAGTCCTAAAAACTTTACATAACTTTATAAACCTTTTAAAGTCCACCTTTCAATAACATATGGAGGTGTCATGGTGCTCATATGTTCCTTTTGGTCAATGGACTACACAAATATGTATATTTGAATATTCTTTATCACTGTCCATTTATCCCATTATACACATCAATGTGACCTGAAAACAAGGTCCTGAACTACTCTGCTCCACTCAGGTATTGACCAGAATACAATAAATTCTAGAAAAAAAATAAATGGGCTCCAACAACTGACCTTTCTCACAACTGGAGTTCTGAAGTGTCATGCAAATATGCTTTAGAGTAGGCTTCTTTTTTTTTTTTTTTTTTTTGACTCCTTATGCCAAACACTCAGTAAATTCTGTATTTTTTATTTATATTTTCTTGATTCTGCTATTACAGATGTCCCAATTTTTCCACCTTTGTTCCACTCCACCCAGTATCTCCCACCCCCCTCTGGCACCCCCCCCACCACTGTTCATGTCCATGGGTTATGCATGTAAGTTCTTTGCCTATTCCATTTCCTATACTGTATTTTACATCCCCATGGCTGTTTTGTAACTACCTATTTGTACTTGTTAATCTTCTCACCTCTTTGCCCATTACCCCATACCCTCCTCCCATCTGGCAACCATCAAAATGCTCTCCAAATCCATGATTCTGTCTCTGTTCTTCTTGTTTCCTTAGTTTGTGTTTTAGATTCAATTGTGGGTAGATATGTTATTTGTTGGCATTTAATTGTTCGTGGTTTTGATCTTCTTTTTCTTAAATAAGTCCCTTTACCATTTCATATAAAATGGTTTGATGATAATAAACTCCTTTAGTTTTTTTGCATCTGGGAAGCTTTTTATCTGCCTTTGAATTATAAATAACTTTGCAGGGTACATCGATCTTGCTGTAGGTCCCCACTTTTCATGAGTTTGAATATTTATTGCCAATCCCTTCTAGCCTGAAAAATCTCTTTTCAGAAATCAGCTGACAGTATTATGGGAACTCCTCTGTAGATGACTAACAGCTTTTCTCTTGCTGCTTTTAAGATTCTTTCTTTATCTTTAATCTTTGGCATTTTAATTATGATATGTCTTGGGGTGGGCCTCTTTGCATCCATCTTGTTTGGGACTCTCTATGCTCCCTGGACTGACATGTCTATTTGCATCACTAAATTAGGGAAGTTATCTTTCATTATTTTTTTTCAAATAGATTTTCAATTTCTTGCTCTTCCTCTTCTCCTCTGGCCCCCCTATGATGCAAATGTTGAATCTCTTAGGTTGTCCCAGAGGCTGCTTATACCATCCTCATTTTTTAAAAATTCTTTTTTTCTTCTTGTTGTTCTGATTGGTAGCTTTTTTGCTTCATTATCCCAAATCAATTATTTGATTCTCAGTTTCATCCACTCTACTATTGATGCCTGGTAAATTGTTCTTTATTTCCATTAGTGTACCCTTTGTTTCTGACTGGATCTGTTTTATGCTATTGAAGTCTTCGCTAAGTTCCTTGAACATCCTTATAACCAGTATTTTGAGTTCTGCATCTGATAGATTGTAATCTCCATTTCTTTTAGTTCTTTTTCTGGAGTTTTGATCTGTTCTTTCATTTGGGCCACATTTCTTTGTCTCCTCATTTTGGCAGCCTCCCTGTGTTTGTTTCTATGTATTAGGTAGATCTACTCTGACTCTGTGTCTTGGTAGTGTGGCCTAAATAGTTGGTGTGTTATGTAGGGTCCAGTGGCACATCATCCCCAATCACCCAAGCTGGTTTCTCAAGGTGCACCCTTTGTGTGGGTTGAAGACAACCTTCACTTGTAGTTGGGCCTTGATTGTTGTTGGCAGGTCAATGGGAGAGATTTACTCAGGCTGCAAGCACTGGATGTGACCATTTACCACCAATCACCATCCTCTGTGGAGGATCAGCTGTGCAGGAGTAGGTGGTGGTGCTCTGATATGGTCTATAGCTGTCCCCTGGGTGCACAGACTCTGGGGTTTCCCAGGTGGTGCAAGCCAAGGTCAGCCTCCACCTGTGTTTTCCTGGGAGCCACCCCGCCTGAGCTCTAAAACAATCTGAGATGGCTGTTACTTGTGCTGGGCTTGGAGATTCCCGGGTAAAGTCAAGCTGTGAATCCAGGCTGGTTGCCACTAGTGCTGGGACTCTGGCCCCTAAGCAAGAAGTTTTGGGGCTGGAGGCTCACTGAGGCTGGCTGGTGCTTGTTTGAGAAGACTTCAGAAATTGTGACAGTTGAGCCAAGACCAGTCATTCATTCAGAAAAGCAGCTTGGGTGGGCCCATACATTGGGTGGGCTGGAGAATCTGGGGATCTTCAAGCGGGTCACAGAATGCTAGCTAGGTTGATGGATTCCCAGATATGGCACAAGCTTGCTGCCTCTGTCGGGGGAGGGTTAATAAAACAGACAATGGCCTCTGCTGACCTTGATGCCAGACACTTCAGTGTCTCCTTGTATACAACTGGTGACCACAAGCTGCTACAGGAAGTGAGTCTGATTAAGTGCGTGGGTGGTTCTTCTGCTTGGGGCTCCAGAAGTTTCTTCCACTGATTCAATCCCTGCTGGTTTTTGCATGCATAAGTTATGGAGACTTATCTTTCTGGCACCGGAACCCTGAACTTGGGGGCCTGGTGTGGGGCTGGGACTCCTCATTCCCAAGATATCCCTCCCAAATTTTTCTCCACCACATGTGGATATGGGACCAACCCATTCTGTGTCTCTCCCACTCCTATCAGTCTGGATGGTGTGTTTTCTTTTATTTCATAGTTGTCTGACTTCCAATCAACTTGATTTCTGATGGTTCTGAGTGATGGTTGTTCTATATTTTCGTTGTAATTGTGATGTGGGTGAGCAAGGAGGCGAGCCATGTTTACCATCTTGACCAGAATAGTAAATTCTTTAAATCTGCAAAGTATGTCTTTCAGTTTCGGGATTTTTTAAAATCTCCTGAATAATTTTCTTCTTGCTGTTTCTTTTCAATTTTTTTAAAAATTTATTGATGAGAGAAAAATATTGATTTGTTGTTCCACTTATTCATTCATTCGCTGGTTGAT